GCCATCCAGCCGCCCTGGCTCCGCTTCCGTGCGTCCCACGCTTGTCTCTGCGCCAGGGGCGCCCTGGGGCCGGGCAGAGTACCCCTAATCCCTGCTCACGCCTCCTGGCCCCCAGATCCCACCTGAGCCTCTTGCCCAAACCAGGCAGGACATTGGCAAATGCCCATCCCCGCTTTCTTCAAATGCCCATCCCCGCTTTCTTCCCCTGTCGGACTCTCCCTACCTGGCCCTCAGCCATCTTAAATCTCTGAGTGTGGGTGACAGGCACCTTCTCCCAAATGAATCCAAGAAAGCAAAACTGCACAGGTCACACCCGTTCCCCAGAGGCTTCCATGGAGGTGGGCTTCCACCCAGGGACACCCCCACCAGCCCTCACAGCCTGGTCAGCCTCTAGCATCCTGGTTTTTTTTTTTTTTTTAAGAATTTAAAGATTTTATTTTATTTTTCCTTTTTTTTCTCCCCAAAGCCATCCAGTACATAGTTGTATATTCTTTGTTGTGGGTCCTTCTAGTTGTGGCATGTGGGACGCTGCCTCAGCGTGGTTTGATGAACAGTGCCATGTCCGCGCCCAGGATTCGAACTAACGAAACACTGGGCCGCCTGCAGCAGAGCGCGTGAACTTAACCACTCGGCCACGGGGCCAGTCCCTAGCATCCTGGTTTTGATCTGAGAGGAGGGTCAAAGCTTGTAACACTCAGGCCTCTGCATCTAAACCTGCTGGACCCCTTCTCTGGGCATCAGCCTTCCGGCACCTTTTGCCCCCACCCCACTTCCAGAGCAGCCCTCCCCACGCATCCAGGGTCATGGAGTTTCAGGGTGGGAAGGGGCTCTGGATGCCTCCTGATCTCTGTGGTCCTAAGTGATGCTCTCTTATGACAGTAGTAATTCATTGTCTGTGACTGTTCCTTTAATCCCGTCTCCCCCCAACAGTGTAAACTCTAGGAGGCAGGGAATGTGCTCCCCACCCCCTCCAATGGAGAAGGAATATGCGAGACCCCACAGCCACCCTGGGGACCTAGTCTCAACTCAGCCCCCAGCTTACCTCCTGTCCTGATCACAGGAGCTGCCGCTGGGCTCAGCCCATCTTCTCTTTCCTTGTCTGCTTCTGTTCTGCCCTCCAGTTCCACGAAGGACCCACGAAGGCAGGGGTTCTCAAGCCTCAGCTACAGCTAGCATCTGGCACTGTTCCCCTGGCTTCAAAATATGTGTCCCTCCTGGCACCTCTTCTTGGAGCTGAGACCTGGAAATACCTGCACACTGGCTGTCTAATGGACATTTCATTCATTCATTCAACAATATTGAATGAGTCTCTCCTCTCATGGAAATCACGTTCTAAAGAGGGAGGTAGCTGACCAAGTAGTCACAGGGGGCAGCCACGGCTTGTAATTGAATGGAAGTAATCATAGCATATTGGGAGAGAGGAACAGGGGAATCCATTCGGAGCAGGCCTCTCAAGGGGTGGCCTTGTAGTGGGACCCGATGCTGTGCAGATGGGGGAGCCTCTCCCTCAGCTCTCCCGAAGCACCCAGCGCAGATGCCCAGAGCTGAATTTAAAAACCTATGCTCTGCCCCTGCCCTGCTTCTAGTTTCCGTAGCTTAGGGAGGGGCCTCTGCATCCAGCCAAGTGTGCACACCAAAACCCAAGGTCAACCTGGGCACCCCTTCCGCCCCCACCTCCAATCACCAAGTCCTGTGGGTTGTCGCTGTAACCTGACAGTTTCACCCCACCTCCATACTGTCCTAGCTGCCACCTTCACTCGTGAGCCATGCAGAGCCTTGTGCTCTTCCAACCCAGTCTCCGTATTCCACTGAGCCATCTTTTAAAAATGCACCTTGCTCCCTGGCTTAAACTCGACAGCGGCTTTCCCTTTGCTCCAGGATGAAATCTAAACTCCCTACTGCACACCCCTCATGGGTGGCCCTGCTCTCCTCCTGGGCTCATCTTGAGCCCACAACCTCCCCCTCTGGTTCTTGCCACACTGGCCTTTCAATTCCTCCAGCCTTTGCATCAGCATGCATTTCCGCTTACGGGGAGCTCCCTCATCTTGCCTTCAAGTTGCATCTCTAACCTCCTGAGCTTACACTCCAGGGAGGCGCTCTGTCCACCGCTTCACAGCCCTTCCTGGTGTGTAACTGCGTCACGACTGTGTGCTTACCTAAGCCTGCCTCCCCTGCTCCAGGTGGGCTCCACGGAGCAGGGGCATCTCCGTTTTGCCTGCCATCGTAGCCCCAGTGCCTAGCACAGCTTGACACATGCTAGGGGCACCATAATTATTGCAGTCTGGCTGGTGATGGACAAAGGAAGGAAAGAACGTGCTGTGGGAATCCCGGATCTCCCCCTTCCCTCACTGTGCTCCAGCTCTCTTACCTGGTGAATAGGGCCTGGACACGTACTCGAAGCCAGCGAAAGTGTGCACAGACACACCACATTGGCCCTGAACCCAGCCTCACCGGGCTAAGAACAGCTTTCCCCTCCTAGAGTTGCTACCAACCAAAAGCATTTTGCAGTGGTGGAGCGACTCCAGACCCCCCAGATGTCCCCTAACCAGGGCCTTCTGCCTCCGATCCCCCCTCAAAAGGGCTGGGAAATCACCTGCATCCTTCCTCCCTTCTTGCAAGGAGGGGTCGGTGTCATGGGGCCAGCTGGTTAGGAGGGTGGTTTGCCAGCAGCGGTTTTTGAAATCTTTTTCTTTTTTAATCAGCAGACCTTCTGACATCCAGCCTCCAGTGGAGGCCAGCCCAGGAAACCCCAGCCTCCCTGCTGGAAGAAGCCCCGCTCGCCTTCCCCCCCCAGCTCCTTCCTGGAGCCCCGGTGGAAAGCATTTCCACAACTGCTACTCGGAGGACCTGGATCTTCTGGTTACCTTTCCACCCCACCAGGTAAGCTGTCCCGTAACCGGGGGCAGGCTCCCAAAGGAAAAGTCAGCTCAGAATTTTTGAAAAAACTACATCAGTTCTGTACCCTCCTAGAATGCAACTGGACAACGCATGTAAAAAGCTTTAGTCTTGATGAACCTTTGACAGAACGATTCAGCTCTCAAGAATTACCCTAAGAAAAGCAGAAGTTGTAGGTCCCCAGGAAGACGTTCATCACCGTCCGGTCACAAAAGCAGGGAGAATGGAAGAGTCCTGAAGGTGCTCAGCAGCAGGGAAGGTAAACAGTCCTGGCACGCGCTCACACGGAAGGCAGCCGGCAAGACGGATGAGAAAACATACTCGATGACATGGGAATAGTTTAGGACGGAGGCAGATGAGAAATAAAGTGACAAAATGCAGTGTACAGAAAGATTCCATTTTCATAAAAAAAATATGTAGATACGTATAGAAAAAAAGGCAGAGTAGACACATTTTAATTGTGGGATTATGGAGCATTTTCCCTTTTACTCATTTGTATTTTTAGATTTTCTACGACAAACCTATTTCCCTTTCATAAGGAAAGAACTGAAGATGACGTTAGCAAGATAATACAGATACACCTAAAGAAGGAAAAAAAATCCCTCACAGAAGACACCCCAGCTGGGACCGAGCCCCTGTTGCCCCGTCAGGTCCCCTTCTCACAGTGCAGGGGAGGGTGGGGGCCCTGGATGAGGCGACGGGCTTGCGACTTCGTGGGAGCCACACACTCCTCCTGGGCACATACCTGCAGGGTCGCTGGAAGAGATGGCTTCCAAGAAGTGGGCTCCCTTCGACCCCCTGAGGTCACGGCTCAGGACATCACAAGGACCCCTGAAGTCAGTGAACTCAGACGTGTGTTTGTGGCTCCACCAGTGGGCAGCTTGGCCCTGCTGTCCCAGACGGCCAGTTTCTGGGTGAAGAGAGACCAGCTAGCCCTGCCCCTTCCTGTCTGCCCTCACGGTCAGGTTGAGATGGCCTGCCTCGCTGCCTCGGGAAGCCAACTGCCCAGCACCCATCCTCCGCGTGTGCATTTATCGGGGCTCCCTCTGCATCATGCTGTGGTTTGATCCTCCCCACCTCAGCCCTGGATGGTGGGCCTGATACTTCAGAGTTGAATTGAAGCCCACAGAAATGCAGACCTAGGGGCCAGCCTGGTGGCGTAGGGCTTAAGTTTGTGTGCTCTGCTTTGGCAGCCCAGGGCTCACAGGTTCAGACCCTGGGCGCAGACCTACACACTACTTGTGAAGCTACGCTGCGGCATCCCACAAAAAATGGAGGAAGACTGGCATAGGTGTTACCTCAGGGTCAATCTTCCTCACCAAAAAATAAACAAACAAACAATAAGAGATTAAAAGAAAGGAAGAAAGAAAGAAAGAAATGCAGACCTGGGTCACCGGGCAGCCCGAGCACTTTTGCTTGTGACACTTAGGAGGCCGGCCCCTGGCCCCCACCTGGGGTCCTGGCTCAGCGTGGGGTGGGTGCAGTTATCTCCGACTGCTTTCTCAGTGCCCAGCCTGCACCCGCCCACACTGCTAGGCCCAGGGTCGGCCCTCCTGCACTTAGAGCCAGGCCTCCTGGCCAGGCCGCTCTGCCTGGGCGGGCGGTGTCCAGCTGTGCACTGGGAGGGCTGGCGCCACCCAGCTGCTGGATGACTGGCCATTCCGAGTGGGCTCAGGAGAAAAGCAGGTCTCTGTCCCACGGCTGACCCTCACCCCTGCAGCCCTGGGGCCAGGTCAGCGACCGCTGGTTGGGACAGGCTTTTCTGAAGGGACAAGTGAGCACTTTCTGCCGGAGCCCTTGCTCACACTGTTCTCCTGGAACACCCTCCTTTCTCTGCTCAGAAAAGTCCTGGTCACCCTTCTGGCCAGGCCCGGCTCACGCAGCTAATCTCCTGTTCAAATTCCTTAGCCCTTCCGGGAACACATCACACTGAGCCCGCCACCCCACACCATGAGCCTGGGGACTCAACCCAAACTCTGGGCTGGAGAAGGGAGTGAGTGACATCACTTCCACCTCAGCCGGGGCTCTGCCCCCACCCGCTGGGGCCCTTCTCACGCCGGCCTGAGCTGTCCCAGCAAAGAGAATAAAGACAAGACAGACTGAGGTATAGTTCAAAGGTTGGTATCTTTTTTGGTTTCCTTTTTTTGCTTTTGTAAAGAAAAATAAGATTGTGTTTTTTGTTTGAAAGAGAACATAAGCCCCCTCCCTGCCCAGCTTCTCCCCTGCCCCTGGGGGTGCTGGGCCCGCTGGGCCTGGGCAGGAGGGGCCAGGTGGCCGGGCCTGGAAGGAGAGGAGCTGGCACTCGGTGCGGGGGCTCCTCAGAGCCAGAGAGGAAGGGCATTGGGAATGGAGTTTGGCTTGTCAGGCAAAAAGTAAAATTAAAAAACTCAGCACACATGCCCACTATACAAACGGGGGCCGAGAGGCGCCACCTCCGAGTTGGAATCCTCTCTGGCAGCTGGACGCAGGGTCCTGGTGCGGCCCCTGGCCCCCAAGTCCCCAAGTCCTGGGGGGGTGGGGCAGGGCAGCAAACAGTAGCACTCAGGACAGGAGTAGGGGAAGAGGAGAGAAGGGAAGTCAGAGGAGTCTCCTTCCCCACATGGTAAAAAAAATTACTAAAAAAGCACCCAAAGCTTAAAAAAACTAAACCTCCCTGGCAGGGAGAACTGGGGGCATCCTGCTTATCAGCAAAATGCCTTACCTGGCAAAAATGTGTAGAAAAATAAAATTAAACTTTATCCCTGAATGACAAAGTGAAGACCCTGCCCTCCTGCCCTCCTGCCCCCCCGTGAGTCCCAGAATCCACCGAGGCTGCTGATTCCTCCCCAAGTGGCACGAACACGTGCAATGACACGCACACACGCTGCTGTACCCGTGTCCAAGGCCCAGGGCAGCAGGGACTGGGGATTCTCACGTCCACAGCACATGCACAGTCTCTCAGTCCTCACAGCACTGGGAGGGTCCCTATGCCAGACTGAGGTCCCTCCTTCCTCCTCTGGGGACCCCAGCACAAGGCAGGGTGCAGGAACCTGCAGTGCAGGTCAGAATGAAGGGCAGTGGCAGGGACTGAGGGCAGTGGGATAGGAAAGAAAGCCTGGGAGAGAGAGGTCACGCTGAGCCCACGGTGACAGCAGAATGAGAGAGGAAATTGGGGTCTCAGTGGCTGAAAAGAACCAGGTGCGCAGTAGGGCAGGGACGGGGTCCAGTCTCATCTGAGACCTGCAGGCCACCCTGGGCCTGTCCCTCAGTACAACGTGGGCTGAGGGGTCCAGCAAGGCCCCCTTGGGCAGCATGAGGGAGGGGCCCAGAAGCACAGGCCTGGAGATGGGGCAAGGTGGGCCCTGGGTAGTGTTCTCAGGGTAATGGGGCTGCTGCCTGGGAAGGTCAACAGAGGTAATAAAACGGTGGTGCAGGTGAGCAGAAGAGAGCCTCGGGGGGTGCTTACACTAGCCTGAAGGCCCAGCTAGGCCCCTAACCAGGAGCTCTGAGGAGCCCTGGGCAGGGGACCCCAGGCACCCACCTGCCCACCTTGGGAGAGCCACAGGGCAGGCCTGGCCCAGCAGGAAGGAGCAAGACAGGGTCAGAGAATGCTGGTCCTCAAGGGGGCCTGCCCAAGGGAGGTGTACTCTCCATGGGGCAGGGTCGAGGACGGTGACACAGGGACCATCCTTCCCTCCTCCCCCAGGGAGCCTGAGGCGGCCAGGTGGGACAGGGGAGTACAGTACAGAGATGTGATCACAGCCCGTGGGCGAGGGGTCAGGAGGCAGCCCGGCTCCTGCTGGAGTTACAGTAGTAGTGGCATTCCTGCCAGGCAGGGCTGGACCGTGGGGAGGGGACCCCAGGGTCGTGAGGCCCCTCGGGGATCCCTGGCTTTGGGATCAGAGTGTCAGCACCAAACACACAACCAACGTCAGCCAAGGAGATGGGCAGGGAGGAGGGTGAACCCACAGACCTCACTCAGCCCTGCAGATTGTTAGGTGAGGAGAAGGTGTCCCGAGGACGGGACTCAGTCCAGCGAGGTCACGGGCCCTGGAGAAGAGGGCGGAGGCGGCAGCCCTGGGGAGGGCCTGAGGCCGGCAGTGGTGGAAGCAGCATGCACCTGGACGCGCCCTCCAAGACTCCGGGTACCGGGTCAGCGCAGGCTCTGGTACAGGTAGGCGGAGGTGAAGAGGGCATTGGCAGCCAGGCTTACAGCCAGGAGGCCCCGGACCAGGGAGGGGCCGAAGAGACCTGCCAGAAAGAGGGAAGACCCAGTCAAAGGCCAAAGGTCAGAAGAGGAACCTGTGTGTGGAGTCACTGAGCAGTCAGCCCAGCCCACCAGAGACGCAGTTGTGGGATCTCACCCGGGCTGAGGCCTCACCCCGGGTTCTTTTCTGGCACCCAGAGGCCTTCCCACTTGGAAAGACTCGCAAACTCAGGGTCACCTGGTCAAGTCTTGCCTCTCCAAAGGTGCCTCCTTTTCTGAGTTCCTGCCGCCAGGTATGTCCCCAAGGCCTTGGACGTTGTGGGCCTGTCCCTTGGTGATGGGGGTGGGGGTGCATGATATCTGCCTTACACACAGGAAATGGGGGCTTTAGGGAGATGGGTATCCTGGCTAGGCCTCAGAGGTAATAAGCTGCCGACTAGGGTGCCCTGTCCCAAGTCTGTGCTCTGGCCATGGCCTCGATGCTGCTAGGTCACAACCCCCAGACCCCACCTGATTTGGGGGCAACACCCGTCTCCAGTCAGCTCCCAACAATCTTTCCAGAACTCCCTGCGTGCTGGGCCACCCATCTTCATCAACACACATGGCCCCCATGCTCTGGGGAGGGTCTCCAGGTGCTGACTACAAGGCCTGCTACAGGCTGTGCTTCCCACGGGACAGGATCTGATCTCACACCCGCCGCAGCCTGCAGAGCTTGGATCAGAACCCAGGCAACTCAGCGCCCAGGGAGGCCTCAGCACTGCACCAGCCGCTGCACTGCACCCCGCTCTCCAGGCCAGCACCCTGCCAGGGAACTCTGTGACGGTGGCAGTGTTCTGTGTCTGTGCTGTCCAATAGAGCAGTCATGGGCCACCTGGGGCGACAGAGCACCTGGCTGGTGCAGCTGAGAAGCTGAATTTTTATGGTTGTTAAATCTTAATTCTGTTAAATTTAAGTGGCCGCCTGTGGCCAGAAACTACTGTAACAGCACAGCTCCAAACCCTAACCCGAGGGGGCTGCTGTCTGCTGAGTCACAGGCTGGACCCGGACAGCGCTGGCACGTTATCTAACTGTCCTCTGTCACTCAAAGGCCCTCGAGGGGTCCTTCTCAGACAGACCAGGAGGTGATGGCCACTGCAGACCCACAGCCCCCATGCTGCCCTGCCCTCCTCCCCCACCTCAGGGCGCAGACCTCTCCAGGCGGCAGCCTCCTCCGTGCACCCTCTGGTGGTGGTGTCCACCATACAGGTGGATGACTGTGACGAGTCGTCCTCTCTCTTGATGGAGTGGCTGCTGCAGGGGCTGCCTCTTTCTGGCATTGAACTCGTGTCTGCAGAGAGAAGGGGTGTCTCAGTGGGTGCTCACAGCTCACCTGCAGGGACAGATGTGGGACAGCTCCACCTCCAATCCCAGAACAGTCCTTGGACAGCCCTGCCTGTCCCAACCCATTCATCCTACCCTGGGCAGTGGGAGGTCAGGTCCTTGTTCAGATCCCAGCTGTGTAGCTGCCGTGAAGGGAACCGGTTTTAGATCAGGAGCAGCAAATTCAAATACCAGCAGGTGCTGACAGAGGATGGCCACATGTAAGGATCCGGAGGGGGCAGGTCAGTGGGACAGGGGACCTCAGCCTGCCCTTCTACCTGTCTGCCCAGTATTCGGGCCCAGTGCGGCCAGATCTTCTGACATCATAAGAGTCAAGAAATCCACACATCCATGTGAAAGTTCTAGATTTTAAAAGTTGAGGCCTAATTTAAAAAATGTAGAAATGCTTTGCAGACCACCACCATCTGAGCAAAACAAAAACAGCCATGACCAGATGCAGCCTGGCAGTGCTTGATGTGTTTTTTATCTATCCCAAGGAACAGAGGACCCTCAAGGTCAATTGCAAAGAAGAAAATAAAATCACCCAACAGAGAGCAATGTCCTGGAGGGTTCAAGGCCACCAGAAGCCAGGCCAGATGTGTCTGGAGCTTGGGAGAGGAGCCACACAAACGTGGACAGGAGCAAGGACGGGCCCCGTGCAGCCCCTCAACCGTGTCCCCACAGTTGCACACAGTCGGCTGAGGCCACAGAGGTGCCTCCACAGCCCCGCCAGGGGGTCCTGCCTTCCAGGAGGGTGGTCAGAGGGCCGTACCCACAGTGTGCTTCCTGTCCCGCGCCGGCTGCCTCTGCGGGGCCTGGGGCGGCTCGAGGGTGAAGAGGCTGCCGTTGTGGGGCGAGTGTTCATCGGAGCTGCTGGGGGTGTTGGGGGCTTCCCCAGGGGGCGATGGGAACAGCAACAGCTTCTGCCCCTTCAGGTTGAGCCGTGCAGGGCTGATGAGAGGTCTGCGGTGTCGCAGAGAGCCAGAGCTGGAGGCCACCGAGCCGGCCACGGAGGGCGCCGGGGAAGGGAGCGGGGAGGAGAGGCAGCTCCCCGACAGCAGGGAGAAGTAATCTGGAGGGTGGAGGACGAGGAAGGCGTGACGTTGGCTACAGTAACACCCACTAGGTTATTTTGTTCCTGCTGCTCCTCCTGCACAGTCAGGAGGAAAGCAAGACTGTGCAGGCACTGCAGGACAGAGGGAAGTCTGGCCGGCAACTGAGGGAGGAGGGCCCGTACCCCACCAGGCACCTGAGGGATAGGAGAGAATCCCGGAGCCCCAGCCAGGTCCCCTCTGCCCACCTCCCCGCTAATTTCTATCCAAAGCCCCTGGTACCTCCCCCAGCCGAAGCAAGGCCCAGTAGGAACAAACTCTTGGGACTTTAGTTCAGCTAACCCCAGCCCTGCTGATGGTGGGGTCCTGAGTGCACTGCCTCCACCAGCGGTCAGCAATACGCATGACAGCATTCTATTAATCCTGGTAACTATCACGCCCATTTCACAGAGGAGGAAACTGAGTACAGGGCTGTCAGTCACTTGCCCAGGGCTGCACAGCTGGGAGGCACAGGGCTGGGACTTGAACCTGTCTGACCCCAAAGTTCATGCTTAACCACTCGGCTGTCCCACCCCACCCACCGCTCTGGAAAACCTGGTCCATACGCTGCCCCACCTGAAGCAGCTCCCCTATTACTCCTCTTGGCTCTCTGTTCGTACCTGAAACGGGAACCTCCCCAGATCGAGACACCTGAGACGGTGGGCGGCTCCCACTGAACAGATACCCTGAATCTGGAGAGGAAAGAGGAAGGTGACACAGTCAGGTCCTCAGGGCCAAGAGCACCCGCCCTGTCCATTGCCCTCCCCTGTGCCCCGCCCCATGGCTGATCTGCTGAACCCAACCTTTGTCTTCACATGATGCTTTCACAGAAACACAGGCTCTCAACTGACTCCTCAAACCACCACCTGAGGCGCGCTAGGCACACTCCCTCTTTGCAGACAAAGAAACCGGAACACAGCAGGCTGCACGCGAGAAGTCAGCACCTGGATCAACCTGGACTCCTCGACGCCTCCTTCTGGGCCTCTCTCTCCCCGCAAGGCCCCGCCTTTTCCGCCATCTCGAGTCCTGCCTCCTCCTAACCCCAGTCACCCGATCGCCTGCGCTGGACCTCAGGGAGCACTGGACACGCTGCCTTTTCTTCAGTCAAGTGCACCCCAAGGGCGGGGACTCCATCTCACGTAGTCCATGATCCCCCAGTGCTCAGCTGAGAGCTGAGCCGGGAAAGATCCCCCGACCACCACGTGCCCTGCTGTAGGTGGCTGCTGCTTCACCATCCATGGGGCTCTGAGGGGTCTGTCTGTCACAGCGCACTGCCTGCCCCTTGTCCCCACCAGGCCCGGGGACACAGAGCCAGGTCAACCCATGTAACTGTGTAAGGATGGCCACACAGCCCAAGCCCAGCGGGAGCCCTTCGAAGAATCTGCTTTCTGGATGTTGGTCCTTCAGCTGAGCATGAGCTGTGGAGATGCAGGGACGAGGCCTGCAGCAGAGGCACAGAGGCGAGCAGAGCTGAGAGAGACACGGGAAGATGGAAGCTAGCACAGCGCCTGAGCCCTGGACCGCCAAGGCCTCCTGACTACGAGACCTGAGGTCCTGCAAAAACTCCCCTTTGACCCCTGGCAATGGAGACCAGGATCCGCCCTCCATCACCACACATTCTGAGACCAGCCTGCAGCCCACAAAACCACCCTGCCACCCTGGGGGCAGTACTCCTGAGCCCTTGCCTCCAGCCCTGAAGGGCCACAGGGAGTCTGTGTGTTGTCTACAGTGGGTGGCAGGCCCTGCCCCAAAGGCCTGAGCCCTTCCCAAGGGGCTTGAAATGGAAACCCCTCAGCCCAGCCATCCTGGGCAGCATGCACAGAGTCCTCCCGGGGGTGCTCGGGCCCAAGCAGGGCTGCTCCTGGCCAGACAGACGCTGGGCTCCTGGTCCCCTCGGCGGTCTGCCCTCCTCCACCCCAAGTTCCACAGGAAACAGGGAGGGACAGCTCTGCGAGGGGAAAAGCAAACCACCTGAATATCAATTCGGGGTACGAGCGAATGGCCTGAACTTTAACCACCTTAGAGCAGCCAGGCCTCTGGTTTTGCTGTTACTGGTATTCCTCACCCCATAGTGATAACAGCAGCCATGCCTGCTGAGAGCCCTGTTCTGGAAGCTCTCCTGACTTGGTCTCACATCATGTCCACCAGCCCCCAGGCACAGCTGCCCCATCTGAGGAGATTAGGGTGCGGGGAGGTGCATGTGCCCACCCAAGGTCACGGACGGAGGGCCTGCTTGGCTGTGCCCAGCCAACGGCGTGGTCCTGGGACCTTTGTTTCCTGCATATAGTCTTCACGACAACGACAAGTGTGTACTCCCAGCCCCGCTCACAGATGGGGAGAGGGAGGCGCCCCACATTTCACCTCCGTCAGACTGAGCGGAGTCTTCTCCAGATGGAGGAAAGGGTGGCAGCAGGGGCCCGGGGCTGTTTTCAACCCTACATTTGCCTTACAGGGAACATGGGGAGCAAGGATGTGTCCTTTGGAGGTCAAGTCCCTGCCTTTCACCCTGCGGGACTATTAACTCAAGTCATTTCATTTTTTAAAGGACAAAGCAGGAGGCAGCCCTCCCCGCAAGGCTGTACCCCTCTCTCCCCACAAGATGGCCATCAGGAGGCTCTGGAAGGGTCTGCACCCGAGTTGGTCCTGCAGAGGCCCAGGAGTTGGGGCCCTGCCCCCACTAGCCCACTCCAACCCTGAGGGCCTGACGTGCCCTCCCTGGCTCCTGGTGGGGAGCTCCAGAGAACACTGTTTTGGGGAAGGGCCTGGCTGTGGGGCCTCCCAGGCTCCCGTGTCCAGGGCATTCCATGGTCCCCCTGCTCCAGCAGCTGTTCATGAAGAGGCCACAGTGGCCCTGTCAGCCCCAGGGCCTGAATTGGGCAGGCCTCAGCCATCACTCTCCTGGCAGGCAGGGGCTCAGAACTCTGCTGAGTAACAATTCGTGTCGAGGGGCAGGCAGCAGCCCCTCTCCTCCAGCAACCTGCTCACGTTTGGTTACACAGAAACACGTGGAGTGCAGGTCTCTGTACGTGGGGCAATCATACCTTCAGTCCCACCCTGAAGGCCTTGAACCCTCGCCAGCACTCAGCGCAAACGCCGTGTCCTCCAGTGAGCTGCCCCTCCTGAGGTGGGACCCTCCTGACCTGGGACGATGCCTGACTGCACACAACAGGGTAGGAGAGCCTGAGCTGGGGTTGAACCCCAGGTGCTAGCAGCAGTGGGGCCCTGGGCAAGTCCCGGAAGGAAGCTGGGGCTTGCCGGGGCCTCTGACGGGAGCTGGAGCCCCTGCCTGCAGAGCAGCTGAGGGGCTTAAATGAGACACTGCCCGTGAGCAAGCCCAGTTTAACCAAAAAGCCGCCCACGCTCTTAGGATGGCATCCTGCTTCGCAGCACCAGGCCTGGGAGCCAGGCAGCCAGGGAGCCAGCCCTGGCCACACCCCTGAGGGGAGGCAAACCCAGCCTGTGCCAGACGCCTTCCCAAAGTGATGAGGCTCATCATGGAACACTCGCAGGGCTCCGAGTGGGTAACACCGGATCTGACTTAGAACCAACCTCCCAGGAAGACCCTGCTGTGAAAGGTGGGGGATGAGACAAAGTCTCATCACAGGAACCAGGTCTGGGTCACACCAGGGCCCACGTGCAGCAAGTGCTCCAAAAATGACCTGAACCGAATCCCTGCCCTCTGGACCACACAGAAAGGTGGGGGCAAATTTTCCAGCCCCTAGTGCCTCAAAACAACAGCAGTAATAATAATGGTAAGAATGGTGGTAAAAGACAACCCCCAACAAGCTCAAACACTTACTGAACACCTGCTGGACACACTTTAAACATATCATCCCATTTAACCCTCACAACATGCACGGCGGGTTCTACCAGTAGTCTCATTTTTTTTTGAGGGAAACTGACGCTCAGAGCGGTTAAGTCCCTTGGTTAAGGGCAGCTACCAAGTGGCCACACCAGAATTTGAACCCTGTTCCCCTGTCTCTACAGCAGGAGCTCCAACACTCCTCCTGCAGCCCCTCCCACTTTGCGCTCGGCTGCAGTCCCTTGTGCCTGCTGCCCCCGGCTCGCTCCGTCCACCAATGCCCAGCGCCTCTTACCTGCTCGAGTCAGAGGGGGTATGGTGCCCAGCGAGAGGGCCCGGCTGAGGCGGCCTGGCAGTGAGGAGGGCGAGGCCCGGCGGGGAGACCGGAACAGCTGCTGGTTGGCGAGTGGCAGGAAGCCAGGTGGGGTGGGGATGAACAGAGATGGCGAAGAGCCTGCGACACTTGGGCAGGGGATGGCCAGGCTGGGGCTAGTGGGGAAAAGGCCGGCGGAGTCTCCGGGGAAGTACCTGCAAGAGCCGTCGGGCACGAGAGAGAGGAGAAAGTCAGCCCAGGGGGCTCCGGAGGCCCCAGCTCCTCTCCCCCGTGCAAGGTGGGGCCTCAGTCAGGGTCCCCGAGGAGGCGTGTGTTAGTGGAAGCAGAAAAGCAGTCCGACCACATTCACGCCATTAGGAGCGGGTGGCTGGGAGGTGCCAGCGTGCCCACCCCTCCCGCATGCCCCCCGACCCCCCGCCCAGCCTCACAGCAAACTAGTTCCACTACGAGTCTCAGTATTAAAGTGACACTGTCACCCTTACCAACCTCACACCAACCCTTCGCCTTGAAGCAAGATGCCGGCCATGCCAGGCACACAGTACAGGCCGGCGGTGTTGGGCGCCCCCTTGCCACCTCCTGCTCCAAGCCCAGAGCCTCCTGCCGCAGTGGCCAGCTCAGGGAGCCCCCTGCTGCTCTCTGCTCTCGGCACCCGACACTCCGCTAGAGCCCTGGCAGCGAGGAGGGGGCAGTGGCCAGCCTTGGGGCTCCCGGGAAGAGGCTCTTGCAGGACACAAGCCAGACCCAAACTCAGAAAAGACCCACAAACGATCGCGAAGCTGCCCGAAAGACAGAGGGTGACAGTGTCTCTTTAACTCGAGAACAGTACAAACAACACCACAGGACCCAGTGGCCCCAAGCCGGAATGTCAACCATGCTTCTGATTAAGGCAACCGATTACAGACGGGGAGGGGCAGAGGCAGTTAATCCATTAGTCTGCCATCTGACGGGGCTGCGGGGTCCAGCCTTACCTCGGTCCCAAGGGACAAATGGGCCCATGGACAATGTGCCGACGGCCGGGCAGGCTGGCTCAGACCCTACAGCAGAGCCGGGGGCCGGCTAAGGTACCCATCCGGGCCCACCACGACCGAATGCTCGGGGAACCACTAGCCAAGCCACATTCCACCTATTTCCTCAGTTTTTCATCTCCGCCCCTCACTTTAAACAAGTTTGATGAGGAAAGTGTGGGGTCAGCCATTGCCTTCCTGTACAATCACGTGATCTTTTTAATACCTTTCAAAGCACCAGGAGGCCATCTAGACTCCAGAAACAAAGGCAGGGCCCCAGTGTTTGGGGAATTTGGGTAAATCAAGGCAGGAGTTCACCAAGTGAATCTGCAGAAGGATCTGGTCAACCTGGGTGGCCCTAGGACAGACGTGCCCACACTCCACCTGCTGATCTGTCCTGCCCAAGCCTGTCTGACACCCACCTCCTTGCCCCCAAGATACCAGGGGAAAGTTCCGTCTCTCAACAGAAGATATGATTTTGTGCCGTCATTCTAAAATTGCAATACCATTCAGCAGGACGGGTCACTACCTTGGGGAATGGCCTGAGTTGGGGGGACACTTTGGGTACTACAGGGGCAGTGAAGGTACGCTGGGACCTTTGCCCAGCTTGTTCTGATCACGCATGAAGCTCTGTCCCCTGTGGGGGCCTGTACCTCCTAGAGGACCCAAGTCTGTCATGCAGAGCGGCAGCCTGACAAGAGCACGCGACACCCAGGCCCTTCCACCAGGTGGCAGCAGGACTCTGTGCTGGGCATCCTACGCCCACCCACACCGAGCACCCCGGAAGCAAGGCCAGGAGTCTCTAAGGGCCACCTCAATAACCAGCGGGTGAGGGGTGCAGGTCTGAGTGAGGCTGCGGGTCTCAGAGGTGGTCAGCTGCTGGAATGGGAAGCTGGGTCTCACCAGCTCTTCTTGTTTCCCCAGATCCTGCTCACACCGGGGCTGCCTCAGTGCTTACAGCCTGAGGCGCTGGTCCATCCAGCACAGGCGCTGCTCCCCATCTCTGATGCCACTAAAAATGCTGGCAGTGCCGGGTAGACAGTTCTTGGTCTGACCCCTCTTGCTGTGACAGGCAGCAACATTACTCAACTAGCAGATCCTTGTAAAGCACCAAATGTGAGCTCTCTCCATGGCTGTGTGGAAGATGGTCCCCCAGGAGCCTCCGTTAAAGCCTTCCATTTCCGCCAGGCTTGAGAGCTTCAAAGGTACCGACGCTTGCTTTGGCGAGGCCCCCCCGGCCGCCCCGCGCCCTCAAACCCCGTCTCAGACAGGCACTCAGCCCAGAATCCAAGTCTGCACGTCCACTGGGGTAAAGGGGTGCTGGGGAGTGGTTGGGCTGTGCAACTGTCTCCCATCTGACACACACAGGACATTTGGTCTTTTTCAACTCAATCCTAGTCCAAGCCGGGAGTGGAAGGAGAGAGAGGACTACATTTCAAGCAGTTTATTGAGATGGGGAAAATACGACGCAGGAGGCAGGTGAAGACGGCATGTGAAGATAGCTGGGCCCTAAGTCGTTTGGTGTCCACGTCACCAGCTCCCACACCTGACTCCTGTGGGCACATCTCTCCCCCAAAGTCCCCCACCCCTGGTACAGAAGCCTCTGAAGGAAGGTGAAAGAAAAAACAAAAAAGACGTGGTACCTGACGCCCACCGGTAAAAGCAGGACCCCGGAGGCATTTATTGAAAATACAACATTAAAAACACACCATCTATGGCCAGGCGTTGTGGTTACAGCGAGCAGAGGGTCACTAGACAATCATCCACAGTTCTACTACACAACCAGAGACGACGAGACACTCGGCAACAGTCCCAGGGACACAGCTCCTCCCAGGGCGGGGCGTCGAGGCGGTTTGCTCCTGGGCAAGTGTGGGAGGAGCTACTCAGCCCAGGGTGGGGACCCCAGACCTGGAGGGAGAAGACAGTGACATGGACCTCCCTCACGTCTCGGGATGGTCACCCCAACCCCAGATGGTCTGACCATCGTCCCCAGCGGAGGGGAGAGGTCCCTGGCAGGGGTGACACATTCTGAGTTAATAAGCCATGATCCCAGTGGTACCTGCACTTCCTCATTGTTGCCAGTAACATCAGAAGGTGCTGGACTATGCTCCAAGTAATGAAACTTTAAAGGACAGAGGATAATTTTAAAAAGTCACACATAACTCCACAAAGGCCAGGACGCCTTCCTCCGATTGAGGTTCAGCTCAAGATGGGTGTCTTTCTAAGCCCGCTAGAGGGCAAGAAAGACATCTGCGCAGCAGGGGCTCCTGGCCAGCAAGAGAGCTGGTTATGGTTATTATAAATAATTTAACTTAAATACACACATACACACAGATGTCTGGTTTCTACTCAATGCCAAGAAAAGCAGTAATTAGCATCGCACTGTCAGTTTCCTTGAGAATAGGAGATTCTAGATACAAGGGCATGCACAGCCAACAGACTACTGGTTCTCCACCCGGTACCTGCGCCTCCCCTCCCCTCTTAGGCAGGCTGCCTGGGGCCAGAGGGACAGGCAGAGCCCCCTACCCTGCACACAGACAGGCCAGTGGGCCTTGCTCCTGGCTCAGACACCACGCCCCCATCTTCCAAATGGTTGTCCACCTCACCCTCCACACAGAACCAGCTGAGCCTGCACAGCTAAGTGGGGGCAGCTCCTGACCCATCCGGGCTCTCCATACACAGATGCAAGCGGGCACAGGCTGCCACCCAATCACTCAGGCAAGTGGGTGACAATGGGACTCAGGCATGACGCTCGAGCTCTCTAGGGGGCGCTATAAGGGGCCTGACCAGGGCAGTCGCTCACCTGCCCCTTCAGGCCCAGTTAGCTGGTGGCCCCTTGCTGAATGTGACCCTCACAAACTTGTAATCTGCTTTTGCCTTCCCTGGGCTCTGACATGCAGAGTGGAGTGGAGGTGCTGGCATACTCGGGCCACACCTGCAGGGGGATTTATGCTCAGACTGAAGAGTGGCAGACACACAGGCCCTGGAAGGAGTGTGAGGCCCACTCTGGGGTCATCAGAATGCAAGACGCCAGGTAAGGAACAGCCTTGGTCCATTGTCCTGACATGACCCTTGGAGGCAGCCCCTAGGCTGAGAACTTCCTCTGCATGTGGAAGGCACCTCAGTTTCCAGAGCGGGTCCACACTGAGGTCAGCAGTCAAGGGCCCTGGAGAGGGGTCCACCTCTCATTTCACAGATGGTAAACTGAGGCTGGGGCCTGGCCAGAACCACACAGCTAAGGAGTGGTAGGGCTGTGACATGCACCAGCCCCTCCCCTGGAGTGGTGACTCTGGGAGGAGGCAGCCCTGTGTGGGGCTCTGGGTCAGCACTGTCCCTCCCCTCCAGGTGACCCAAGGAGAGAGAGGCTGATGCCCAGTGGGCTCTGTGGCTGCCCCACAGGGAAGTGGAAAGCAGGAGCCTTGGCACCCTCCATGAGGGGCTCCAGGGACCAGGAGGGGAGTAACAATGGCCAGGCCAGAGAGGAATAAGGTGACAAATGACCTGGGGTCACGATGGGCCTGTGCATCCCTGGGGCCCCTTACTCAGTGCTAACCTTGGGCAGTTAGCACTTTTCCCAGGCATCATATGGCAGTGAGAGGAGGAAACTGGGGACCTCCTGGGCATGGGGGGCGGGAGGGGGGGGGGTGCCAACAAGAGCAGTTCAGGCCCTACAATACCAGCTCGTCAGGGCAACCTTGGCCCAGGGAGCCTGAATGCCAGCCGAGGGGGCAGGTGAAGGGCTCAGCCACAAGGGTCAGGGTCTTGCCTTTCCAGGGCAGAGCTGGGGCTTCCCAGGAGAATGGGCAGAGCATGCACACCCTGGTTCTCTCTGGCTCATAGTAAGGCCCACAAATGAATAAGGAAAGACTATTTGGGACCCCCTCCACCCCCAGGCAAGCTTCCACACCAGCCTGGCTGTTAAGAAGGAACTTGCTGACCACAGGGGAAGCAGGACTTTTCTAGCGGACGTCCACCTTGAGAAGGGCCTCACCCCACAAACTCTTCATCAAGGCCAGTCTGGGTCCAAGAATTGTACTCTCCATTCCCAGGGAAGGAGGCTGAGGGATAACAGGGTCTCTGGAGCAGGGAAACGAGTAGTGGACCCAGGGGGGCAACCCTGCCTTCCTTTTGGTTCCACCATCTCTGGCAGCACTGGCCAGGCAATGGGCAGGACCAAGAGGAAAGACCAGAGAAGTGATGTGGGGACAAGGTGGGGGGCTCTGCTCTGGCCCCTGCTCAGCAGCACCTGCCGTGCTAAGCAGCCCAAGTGGTCAGGCCATGCAGCAAGGGCCCAGTATGCAGCCACTGTCACCAGCATGTGCCAGGGGCTCAGAGATGGGGCAAAGTGGGAGAGGAAACAGGCCCACAACCCTCATCCAAGGGTGTCAGAGGCAGGTGTGTGGGTGCCGTGGGTGTTCCAGTCTCGGGGCACGTGCGGGTCTTTGGCCAGCGGTGACACGAGTGGTGAGGAGCTGCAGGGCGCTCAGGGAGTGCCTCGGGCTCGGGGATGGCTTGGTGGCATGGGAGAAGAAAGGAGGGCAGGCCCGAGTCCCTAGGGAAGTGGACGGGCTGGGTCAGGCCCAGGGGCTCTAGGAGGGTGGGGGCAGAAGTGAGGCAGGTAAGAAAGATGCCAGACAGAGGGACCCTGCTCCAGGTGGGGGGCAAAGCTCTGGGCCTGTCCATCCGTCTGTCCTCCCCCCGCAGTCACTGCTGCTTCTCTGACCTTCGGGGCCGGAACCTCCGTGGGCCTGTCGCCTTCCTTGTGGCCACGGCTGCCGTGAAGCCCACCAGGCAGCACAGGGACGTGGTGCTGAACTTGACTGTGTCCAGCCAGCTGGGCGAGGTAGCCTGCAGGTACTGCTCAGCGAGGTGCAGCCCTAGCAGCAGGGCCCACAGGCAGGTGGAGAAGGCGTCGATCCTCCGGAGCCTGTGAGGGGGGAATGGGGGCAGGGGTGAGGGCCCATCCCAGCAGGACAAGACCCCCCACCCCTTCTGCCACTTCCTGCCTCCTTCATCCACCTCGGCCCTGCTCAGGGGACAGAATCCAGAGCCAAGAGGATAGCACCGGCCTCAGAATCCTGCTGCCAACACTTACATGCTGCCCCACTCTGAATAGGTGTTTCTCCTAAGCGTCAGTGTTCTAGCCCATAAAACAGGGCTAAGAAACCTCCTTTAGTCACTGTGGGATAACAGGGACACCACTCGGTACAGGTGCAACTGCCCAGGGAGGGAAAGCAAGGGCCCCAGGGCACCCCACCTGACCCTCCTACAACCCGGGGCGGGGGGGGTGGTTATCATCCCCCTGACTGTGCAGACGAGGAGCCTGAGCGGGCGAAGTGAGGCGACTGGGTCCCAGCAGCCCCAGCACACAACAATGAGTGGTGGGCCGGCTGAGCACCGCTGCCCCCTCTAAGGCAGGTCATTTGCCTTCCTCTCTCCCACCAGACTCCCAGCCACTGGAAAAGAGGGACTGCATCTTGCTCCAGCTACACTGTGGAGCTCAGCCCAAGGCTGTGGGCCCTGCAGGGCCTCTTGGCTCCAGCCCTGAGCACTTCCTCCCACTGAACCCTGTCCTGCCCGGCCACACACACACCTGATACGGCCGGCCAGCAGCATGGCCAGCAGGCAGGTGAGCAGACCCAGCGCCACGACGCCCATCTGGTGGCTCTGCCCAAATGCCCAGGCCTCGTGCAGCTTCTCTGCCGTGTGCTCTGGCAGCAGGCCCAGCAGCTGCCGCCAGCCCTCAGACCCAGGGGTGGTGCCGTTGTCAGGTGTGGCCGAGCCATTGCCACCAGGTGGCAGGGCCGGGGGCAGGGGGGACTCTGGGGCAAAAGGGTTGCTGGTGCCATACAGTGTGGTGGTCAGCAGAAAGGTGCAGGCCAGGAAGGCGAGGGCACGGAGCACGATGACCTGGACCGGGGCCTTCACCGCAGACGAGCAAAAGCTCTGAGGAAGGAGATACTGGTCAGTGAGACAGCCAGAGCCACCAACAGCCATTCCCACAGTGCCCACTCTGTGCAGAGGGGTCTGGCCAGGGCCCCAGAGCCCTTGCTCAAGAATCCCCCCAGGTCCTGAAGAGCAGAGATGCTGTCTTTACTGGGTTCTAAATTCTGACGCATTTTCAGCCTTGTTTCTGGTTTATCACTGTCCCCCACTGAGGTGTGCCATTTCTGGCCCTTCACTCCTGTGAGAGTTACTGTGTGGGGAGGGGTACTGCTCTGCCATGTTCTTTTTTCTTCTTCTTCTTCTCCCCAAAACCCCCCAGTACATAGTTGCATATTCCACTTGCAGGTCCTTCCAGCTCTGCTATGTGGGATGCCACCTCAGCATGGCTTGATGAGCAGTGCCAGGTCCGTGCCCAGGATCAGAACTGGCGAAACCCCAGGCAGCTGAAGTGGAGTGAACAAACTTAATGACTCAGCCATGGGGCTGGCCTCTCTGTCACATTCTTTAAAGAAATCCTTTTGAGGGCCAGGCCTAGTGGCCGAGTGGTTAAGTTTGGCACACTCCTCTTTGGTGGCCTGGGTTCGGTTCCCAGGCATGGATCTACACCGGTCTGTTGGTGACCATGCTGTGCTGGCGGCCCACATACTAAAAAGTAGAGAAAGACTGGCACAGATGTTACCTCAGGGCAAATCTTCCTCAGCAAAAAAAGAGAAAGAAAGAAATCCTTTTGATATTATGGTGACATACTCTTTAAAATAAGTTTTTTAAACCTTCTGTCAAATTCTGATCAAAAATTCCTATTGTGGGGGCTGGCCCCGTGGTCGAGTGGTTAAGCTCACGCACTCTGCTTCAGCAGCCCAGGGTTTCGTCGGTTCGGATCTTGGGTGCAGACATGGCACTGTTCATCAGGCTGTGCTAAGGAGGCATCCCACATGCCACAACTAGAAGGACCCACAACTAGAATATACAACTATGTACTGGGGGGCTGTGGGGAAAAAAAGGAAAAAAAATCTTAAAAAAAAAATTCCTATTGTGATTTTAACTGGAATTGCAATAAACATATAGATAACTGGCCAAAATTAAGTTAAAAAATACCGCAATAAGTTGCTCAGTCTAGGGACACAGTGGTAAGCAGGAAAACCAAAGGTCAGAGAGTCCTGCTGTGCAAACATGGACGTGTGGGCCAGTGGTGTGGCCATGTGGTCATGGGCCCAGCTGGAGACTAGAAATCACACACCAACTGGACACAGGGCACACGTGGGGACCCGAGGGGTGGGAATTTCTTTGGGGGGATGTTTTTTCCTTCTGAATCCACTTCCTACTGTATCATATTTTTTTAACCAGATAATCCCATTAGTTGAGTACAGTGATAAAAACTAATGATAGTTTTAGCCAGACTGGTCCTGGGTTCAAATCCTGGTACCACAACACCCCAGGTGTGTGGCTCTCTGCAAATTATTTAACCTCTGAGAGTTTAGTGCCCACAGCTATAAATGGGAGTCGCAGCTCCTAAGAGCGCAGCCACCACCAAGCGTGCTCTGAGTCTGAACACAAGTGTCGGGTCACTGCCCAGATGCAGCAGGGCAACTCAACCCCTGCTCAAGTATGCCAGCAGCAAACGCATCACGACCCTGACCTAGTCTTCTCGGGATACCTACTGTGGCTGGTGACACAAAGGGGTCTGGGGACAGGGTAGGAATGTGGGCCCGCTAGAAGGTAGCTGCCCCAGGAAAAAGGGTCCCAGCTCTGAAGAGCTGCCCTCCTGTCTGGGGCCCAGCCCTCTGTGAGGGATTCCTGCACAAACTCGAGACTGGGAGGCCTCGCTCAGACCTGTGTGTGGGTCTGGTCCACCTCCCGGCGCTGGAACTGGTGGCTGAGCAGCAGGGCGCGCAGCTGGCGGTTCTGGTGCTTGATATAGTACTCGACAGCGGCCTGGCATGGCCGGCACAGCTTGTACATCTGCTCCAGGTGGTGCCGATACACCTCGATCTCCTCATCGTACCTGCCCTGCAGAGGGGTGGGCAGAGGCTCAGGGTCCTCTGGGGGCAAATGAGGCTGCCCATCTAGTGAGGCGAATCTAGGTTCACTTACAAGTGGGGTGACCACAGGCACGTTGTCCCCACTCTGAACCTGCCTCCCCTGCTGCCCAACAGGACAAACAGCTCACTGCATATGGTAACATCAGCTGTAAGGACTGGCCCAGATCCTGGGATACAGCAGGGGCCCACAGGTGATGGCAGATAGTCTAGCCAAGTTCTGTTGTTCCACAGGATGCACCTGGAGGCCTGGAGCTTGGGACAGGGTCCTTGCTGCAGGCCCTGCTCCTGGACTCCAGAGCTCTAGGAAGGCAGGCGTGCCCCAGGAGAAGGGGGCTCTCGGCTGACACTACCTAGACTTGAGCAGATGGACAACCCAGAGGCAGGGCCTGGCCCTCGTGGGGGCTGAAGGGTTCTTGGGGCTTCGGGAAGAGCCCAGAAGATTTGAGTCCCACCTCTCCTTCCCCGCAGATGCAGCAAAGCACCTCTCCCTCCCCGTCTCCAGGGGGCCAAACATTTCAGCCGCAGCGGCTAGGAGGGATATCAGCTTGATCTCCTTTTGTTGGGACCAAACATGCAGAAAAGCCGCCCTGCTTGCTGAGTCACACATGCCTTCCCTTCTGCAGATTCCCCATCTCTCCACGCCTGGCCCTCACTCACCTGTTCTCCCTCCCTCCCTCCCAGGCTGGACTTGGGGAAAGCTGGCATCTCAGGCCTCAGCTGGGATCTGCTCCTGAGGTCACAGGACCCCTGGACTGGGCAGGGTCTGGGGGTGGGGTGGACAGGCAGGATTAGCTAGATAACAAGGCTGCTGGGTTCCACGGCGGGCCCAGGGGAGGTGAACTCCGAACGGCAAGGCTCTCAGCAGTGCCTATCTTCCTTCTTCTCCCAGAAGCCGAGAACATCCTCCACCGACTCCAGAGCCAAGCGCCCAGCCAGCCGGTGGGCAAGACTAACTCAGAGGGACATGGAGAGGATGGGTCTCACAGGGCCCCAGGTGGAGCCCAAGGATCCTAGCTCCCCCTGCTCAGGGGCAAACCCCTCTGGACTAGCAGGAACTAGGGTTCTCAGGATATTTCCAGGCTTGGAGCCCAAACAACAGAGACCTTGAGACAGAAGGAGAGCGAGAAGCAAGGCTCCAACTGAGATGGAAGAAATAACACACTTGGAATGTGGGCCCAGCATAGGGTCAGGGTGAGGAGGGGGCCCAGCGGGCACTCAGGACAGAAAAGCCACCGTCTGGGAGAGCCCGGCTCACGCCTCCCCCTCAGCTGCTCTAAAGCACCCTCAGCCCCCTCCCCGTCCCCTTCCCTGTCCCAGCCTCACCTCGTCCCGCGGGGCGAAGGCCGCCAGCTGCTTGATCTTGGTGGTCTGGTGGTGGCTGCACCGCCTACACAGCAGCACCTGGCTGCTCACCCACTGCTGGGGCTGTGGAGGGGTGCGGGCGCTGGGCGCACTGCTCACAACGTGGTTCAGGTGCTCCATGTACTGGGCAGGGATCGGCTTGTTGTAGTCGCCGTTCTGGGGGAGGACAGGGACCAAAGTCAGTGGGGAGCCCCAACCCAACAGTGAGAGGGCCCTGTGTGGCGAAGCTCCAGGAAGTGGTGGCGGATGTCAAACCTTCCCCTTCTTTCTTACATGGAACAGCAGCTTTTCTTCCAAAGAAACTTCACATGGAACCCAAGAGGCAAGACGCTGGCAAGAGCGCAGCCAGCCAGGCTGGAGCTCGCCTCCCACCCACATGCCTCTCCCAGCATCATTCCTGAGAACCCTATAGCACTGGGGAACTCAGTCTGCAAAGTGTGGTCTGCCCAGGGGTCTGCAAACTACGGCTGGTGGGCAGGGCTGTGTTTGTGAACAAAGTTTTCTTGGACCATAGCCACACGAATTCGTCTACCTACTGTCTATGGTGGCTCAGCAGGGCTGTGTAGTTGTGACAGAGACCATACGGCTTGCAAAGCCTAAAATACTTATTCTGTGGCTCTTTGCAGAAAGCCTGCCCACCCCTGGGCTAGGGCAATGAACAGAATGAGCTTCAGAGCCAGAGAGATCTGGGTTTGAACTCCAAATCTGCCAGTCTTAGCGGTGTGACTTTGGACAAGTCACCTCGACTTCCTGAGTCTGTTTCCCTATCCTCAAAGGAGGGGTGCAGGGCCAGGGCTGTGGTGAGGGGCCCTGGGACAGGGGACAGGACAAGGCTGTGGCCTCACGGTCCCCATGTGCCCGCCAGTGGCCCCGCACCTCCTGGAAGCCGTTGTACTGTTCACAGTGGGGGCAGTCCCAGCAGTTGCGGTTCCCGTAGGGCACCACGGTGTCCTGGTTGCAGAACCAGCAGTTGACGATGGTGTGCGTTGGCTGCCTCCTGTGGACGAGGAAAGAGTGCAGTCAGCCGGAAGACCTCTGCCACCCAAGCAACGGGAGACCAGGGAAAGGGTGTGGGAAGCAGGCTGGGGCAGGCAGGAGGACAAGGACCTGACAGGACATTCTGCATCCAGTGGGAAGACCAAGCAAGGAGGCCACGCTGGCTCGCGCCTCTCTTCAGCTCTCCAGGCAAAGCCTCCCCCCCAGGGGAAGCCACTGGAGACTCACCAGAACTCTTGGCTCCAGCGTGTCCACACAGGGACCCAGGGCCCCCAGCCCCCCGTGTCCTGGGGCTCAGGCATGGGGACAACAGAGGTCAAGGCTGGTCAGGCCACGGGGCCGACAGTGACCAGGCTCCAGGACTGCCTGCCCTTCTGGAGAGGCCTGTTCCCAGGCTGTGGAAACAGTGCTCCTTGGGGAGTTTCCCAGCAAAGGAGCCTCCTGCGCTTCACAGAAGAAAAGTCCCCAGGAGTGAGGGCCGAGGAGGCGGAGGGGCGGGGACTAGAGACAGCTGCTCAGCCTGGGGCCAACTTGCTCTGGTGGAGGGGACAGGGCAGGCAGGGCACAGCGGCCCTTGCTGGCCACACGTGCGGTGACAGGTGGAGTCTGCAGGATAATCCCAGTGCAGACACTGGGGGATCTCTGCTCTGGGCCCCTCTACCCCCCTCACCGGCTATGGAGAGTGGGGGCGGTGTGTGCAGCAACTGTTCAACAAAGCCCTCCAGTCCCAGGAATCTAGCAACAATGTGGGCAACGGGTGGCAGCTGCCTGAGCCCTGGGATCCTGGCCTCACCGCTCCTGTCCCTCTGCCTTCCCCCAGAGGCCACTCTAGCGCTGGGGGAGCCACCTGGGCCGCTGCTGGAGTGGGCAACCACAACACACACAGACGGCCCTCCTGTCCACAGCGCAACACAGCTCCAAGCTTCCGGGAGCCAGAGTCCCGGCTCCACCACTTCTCGCTGTGGGCCCCAGGAAGTTCCTCCTCTCTGCCTTGGCTGCATCTGCCAAGTGGGAGCCATCATAGCACGCACGGCATCCATACGTTACAAGGATCCAATGACGTAAGACTTGCAACGAAAAAGGCCAGCTCTGTCACTAGCCTGTCCTCAGGCTTGCCAGGGGCCTGGAAGGAAGGCTGGTCCCTGGGAAACAGAGCCCCTGCTCCTGACACTGCAGCCGCCTCCCGGCCTTGCCCCTCTACCATGTACAACTGACCACGGGCAGGTTAAGAGAGTTCTCCAAGCCCCAGTCTTATTACCTGTCAACTGGGGACCAGAACATGTCAAGTGTGGGAAGTATTTAATAGTTCCCAGCCCAAATGCCCCATAAACGGTAGTTATGTGGGGAGGGTGGAGAGAGTTTGCAGCTCAGGGAAACGCCCCCCAGCTCCCGTCACAAACCCCTCAACCCAATTCTCACCGGAGCCAGAGGAGCTGGACAGAGGAGATGGAACTGGGCCCTGCAGGGAAGAGTTCCAGAGTCCACTGAGGGCACCCTGGATCGCTCCCAGCAGCCGCAGCCCCACAGCAGGCCAAAGCCCTCACAATGGACAACAAGGGATGGCCACATCTTATCAAGAGCGCGGAGCCAGAGGGCAGGGCACTGGGCAGCTCAGCACCAGCCACGGGAGTGGCCTTCAGGGAGAGTCATTCCCTCTTGGAACCTCCGCTTCATTTGTCCATCTGATGACTGGGGATAATCCCTGGCCCAGAGAAGCTGCTGAGAGGATCCAACGAGTTTAGGGAGGCGCTCTGCCTGGCAGGGTCAGTGCTCGGCACTCAGACAGTTTCACCGGGCATCGCGCAGAGAACGGTGGAGGCGGCGCGGCAGCCCCGGCTGGAGGGGTAGCCTCCACTCTGCCGAGTGCACTCGGCATTCCTGGCAATTAAGCACTTGGCTTTCTCTTTGTTAATTTGTACCCACTTTACAGGTGTCTCTGTAATTGTGCATGAGGGCGTGTCCTAATGGCTGATGATGCAGGCCGCAGGCCTGCCAAACCTCTCATCTGCCCCCCTGGGCCCCTCCAGTCTCGTGGAAGGACCCCTCAGCCTTTGCACCCTAGAACCCCACACTCAGCCTCTGGAGAGGAACCAGGCAGATCAGCTGGCAGTCTATGAATAAAGAGAGACAGGGAAGGGGATAAAGAGGCAGGGATAAGGAGGCCGGCACTGGGACTGATAACTGGTGAGCGTGAGCTACGGCTCTGGTCCAGGGCACCAGCCACAAAGCCCCTCCCACCCCAGGGAGTCATCATTTCCACTCTCAATCTCCAGTTCCGTTGCTAGGGAAATGAGCCTGGCCTGGAAGCTGGTGGCAGGAAGGGGAGGAGGGGGATTAGCCCTGGTCCCTGGGGCCAGTGGCTCCAGCTCCTGTCACTCCCAGCCGTTGGTAATCCCTGCCCAGGACTGGCCATCTCCCGTGGCCACGGCAGCTGCTGCCCACCTTGGCCAGGTGGGGGTCCACATGCTGGGGAGTCATCTCTCATGACTCCTTTGGAGTGAGCCCTGAAAGGGTCCGCAGGCCCATGAGCGGCAGGACTAGGAAGCCACGCGACCGAGAGCTCAGTGTGAATTTCAGTGCCCACACACCAGCACAGCGGCCTCCCAGGACTTCATGCATTAGACACGTGGGCAAATGTGAAACACATCCCAGGGCTGCACTCGACAGCCAACTTCACAGCTCCTAGTCTCCATGGCTGGCGGGTCTTGGCCTCTGGGCCTGCACCCACCTCTACCAGGCCTGACATGGGAGGTCTGGGTTAATCTATTCTGAGCCAGCTTAGCCCTGTCTTGCTTCTGCTCAGGAAATGCCCCCCCCACCCCACTGTCATAAACCCCTCAACTCACTTCTCCCCAAAGCCAACAGCCTTCGTCCCTAGCAAGGCTTTAGGACAAGCTACTCTTAGTGGTGGACAAGATTTGAGGTGACAAGACAAAATGTCCCTGTAACACAGGCAAGAGAGTTCGACAAGGCAGCTCAGGCCCCTGCGGGTGGGCAGACTGGAGGCCCGGAAGGCACTCATCCAGCTCCCGCTACCTGCGTGCTGAGCTCTCGGGCTCTGCTAGGGCCGGAAGAGGCCTCAGGCAGCCAAGAGCAGGGTGGGCCCCTGGAAGGAGCCAGGGGCAGCTGCATGCTCTGGACCCACCCCTCCACAAGCCCCGAACACACACTGGGGAAAAAAAGACCAACAATGGTATCACCCCATCAGCCCTGAACATGGACGTGTGGTTAAAACAAAGCCCATGCCCTGACATCCTGCCATTCCCTACGGGGGCGGGGGCGGCGGGGGGGGGATGTGTCTTCTGTTCTAGCAGTGAGCCCATCTCTCGTGCCACATGAAGGAGACACCGGATGGGGGAGGCCAATATATCAACCAGTGCCCGCCAGGCTCTGAGAAGCGCCCAGTCTCCCCCGAGAGGAGCCCAGCATGTAGCTTGTGACCCTGGGCACTGTGTGCTGGCCTGGTAGGGTCTGGAAGATGGTCTCTCTAAGAATCAGGCTGCTTCCCTCAGGGGCCAAGAGGTCAGCCTCTGGCACGGCCCCAAGAGGACATCCCAAGACAGCCTCACAGTGAAGGGGTCCTTCCTGGATCCCTAGGTAGCTCCTCACTTGCTCCTTTGTGCCTTGAGTGGGCAACACATGTTGTCCCATCTAACTGGGAGAATCCAAGAAGGCATCTCCTGGGCTGCAATGTCAGCAGCACCAAAATGCAACTCAGCAGAGCCAGGACTCCCATGGCCCCACGGCCCCCAGGCCTCCCGCCTGGCCTCAAGGCAAAGCACAATTAAGTCCACGGCAGTCCTGCCAACACCAAGACAGAAAGCCCCTGGACCCACCTCTCCAAGGGCAGACTTGGCCTGGAGCGGGTGGACTGCGCTCGTTTGCCTCCCAGAGTTTACTGAACACATGCTAGGCTTGCGGGGAGGCAGAAATGAGCAAGGCTCTCCACTTCTGACCTGGACACCAGGACAAGAACAGCAACCTCACAGGGCAGCTGGTGACAGACACCACAGGAGAGAGGCCAACAAGTGGAGCATTTGCCATCACCCTAAAGAACAAGTTTGGCGGCCAGAAGCAGGGCAAAAGAAGCAGATGGCATTCAAATGGGTGGGACTGCTGGGCAAAAAGGGTGGGACCACCCAGCATACGTCCACGGAGCGGCATCCCTTCAGCCAGAGTGTGCAGTACCAGGAGAGCACAACAAGAGGTGGGCAGGAAACGGGGACTCTGGATGCAAGGATAAGGAGGATGCATCCTCTCAGTCTCCAAATACGACAAAGTGGACAATCCAATAAACACCTATGGGTGCCGCAGGAGGCCCCTGAGATCCCAAGCAGGGATGTGCTGGCAGAAGACAGACCTGGACACAGTGCTAAGCGGCAGACTCTAGGGGTGGGAGTCTGGGGAATGGGGGTGGGGGCAGGCATACGAAGCCATCATGACTGCCTGGATACAGGGCGAGCAAGGCCAGGTAAGTATAATTCAGGCTTCTACTCTGTGACGGTGCTGACAAGCGACCTCCCGTGGGGTCAGAGTGGAGGCCAAGGTGCTCAGTGAAGATCTGAGCACACAGTTTGGTTAGGAGCTGAAGGGCTGGAGCGAGGCAGGGCTCTGCCATTTAACAGCGGGTGCTATAGGGCAGGAAGCACGTCCTCGTCGAGCCTTCTTTCCTCATCTGTAGAATGGGGTTTCAGGAAACAGCAGCGTGCCGGTGCAGCGCCAGCACTGAATCATTAACAATAACCCAGTCAAGACCACTCCATGGATGGGAAGCCAGGTGGCCCTGCCTGAGACTCTGGGAGGACTCCAGCCCTTCAGAGAAGCGACCTCTTGCCCTGGCTCCCCCGTCAGTCTTCCTCCAGGTCGCTCTGCCATCTCTGTGCAGAGCCCACAAGCACCCACTTGGCCAAGGTGCTTTCCAAAACCAACTCCCTGCACATTCAAAACCCATGCTGTGGCCGAAGCCAACGTCCTCGCTGTAACGCATTCTCTCCACGGAAGGGAGAAGGGCTCGGTCTCTGTAGGGCTGGTCTTGCTTCTGAATTGCAACAGTGACCAATTTATGATCCCTAGACAAAAGCCAGTGATCTGAGAATCTGAGGGCATCCTGGGAAAGGGCTGGTCCTTCTCAGCCCAACCAACAGGTCCCATTGCCACATTAGGACTCATGTTGTGCCACTAGAGTGACAAGGCCTTCCAGGTACTCTCCTGGCTCCCCTCGTACCAGCTCACCCAACACTGCACCAAGGCCCCAGACTCCTGTCTCCAGCAGAGGGAAAGCTGTGGCTGGCCCCAGACAGGACCCCCGAGAAGAGGGGCAGCACAAGATACTGGAGTGCGAGGCAAAGCGAAGCCAACTTAGTCCAAATCCAGCCATGCTAAACAAAAGAGGCATTGCAAGGCTCGGAGACAGTGCCACGGCCCAGGCTCAGATCCTTGGGGCAACATTCCCTGTCCTGGGTTAAATGGGCAGCAGCAGCGTCCAGAAGACAAACTGGGCTCTTGATCCATCTCTGCTGTCAACATGCTCTGGGAGCCTGAGCAAATCGCCACACGCCTCTGCACCTCAGCTCTCTCGTGTGTAAAATGACTGGTTTGAACCAGTTGGTCCTGCAAGCCCCCGCAGCTTCCAGAAATTGGACAGGAACTGGGACACCCTAGACGTGGGTTGTCAGGATCCTTTAGTCGGGGGCTCTCTCAATCCCAGGCTGCCCTCCCCTGGGAGGCCGCCCCCTCCTCAGCCTGCCAGTCTGGCTCATCCTGCAGACACAGCTGATGTCCCTCCTACCCCTTCCTCCTCCTCCGGGAAGCCTGTGACTCAGTCGCCCTCACTCTTCTCCTCCAGTGAGCAGCAGTAACGGTGGTGGTGAAGGAACATTGGCCAGACTGCCCAGGTTCCAATCCCAGCTCTGCCACTTGCTGCCCAGCGACTGTAGGCTAGCTCCTTCACTTCTTTCACCTAAGATCTGAGCTCCCCACAACCCTTGCTGAAGCTACAACCCCACCTTTTTTCTGTTCCTTGTTCTCCGGTGGGTGGATCAGGTGGGGAAACAGGTGGGTACCTGAGACCCTGGTGAATAAAGCAAGGGGCCATAAAGCTTTTACCCTTGACCATGGAGGCCATGAGAGAGGCCAGCTCTGAACATGGGGGTATGCATGATCTTTGAGCCCAAGTCAGGATGGGGGCTGGGGTGGCCACTGAACCAGCTCAGCAGCAACCCCAGCGCATTTTAAACACCTCTGCAGTACCAGGCTTTCCCGCTCTTGGAGGGAGTGTAGCCTAGGGGTTAAGACCGCAGGCTCCAGGGCCAGGCTGCTTCAGTTCACACCCGGACTCGCCTCATTGTCAAGAACTGTTTTAGCTCTTCTATCCAGCACCTTCTCCAGGGAAAGCAGGGGTTGTGACTCTGAAACGGGCTAACGTAAGCTCAGAACAACGCCTGAGCCAGCATATGCAGACCGTAAGTGCCAGCTAGTATCATGCCGTCCCAGAGTGCTCCTCAGGACCACGGAGCAGGGCTAAGGGCGAAAGGCACTGAGAGCAGCCCGATGCCCGCTCGATTCTCTTGCAGGGCTTGGGGAGCCGGGTGGGTGTGGGGGGGCCCTGCAGACCCTGCGGCTTGGCCAGCACGGTCTCCGTGGGGGAGGGAGTCTGTAACCCACGCGCTGGCTGCCCTGGCCCGCCCCACATTCCTGGGGTCTGCGAACCCACTCCTCGGCGGCTTCCCGACTAAGGATTCCAGATCCGGTGTTTTGGGGCGGGGGTGCAGAGCTGGTCTCAGCGCGCGGGCACTCATCCCGGGCCCCACCGCGCCGCCGAGGCCTCGCCGGGCACGGGCGGGAGGCGCCAGCAGCCCCGGAGCCGCGGGCCGCGGGCGGAGGGCGGCCGGCAGGCGGCGGGCCCGGGCCGCGGAGGCGGCGGCAGCAGGCCGAGGCCGCGTGGGCCGCGCGCACTCACCTCCGCGCGATCCGGTAGAGCAGCACGCCGGCCGCGGCGCACGCCGTGACCCCCAGGCCGCCGGCCAGGCCCGCCGTGGGGCAGCGAGCCAGCAGCGCGCTCACTCCTTCCATGGCTCCCCACGCGGGCGGCGGCGGGCCGGAGGGCCGAGGGAGCAGGCCGGACGCGGGGCGGCGGCGCGCGCCTCCTCGCGCCGTGACCTTCGCCGCTTTGTAGCCGGCGCGGGCCCGCCCCCTGACTCGGCGCGCTCCCGCCGCGCAGCCAATCAGGGCGCGAGATGAGCCCGGTGGGCGGGGCGCCGGCGGAAGTCGCGGTACCGGCACTCCCGCGCCCCCCAGCGGCCGGAGGCGGGAGGCGGCCCCCATCCCCGCGCGGAGCCGGCCGGGCGCCCTCCTCCGCGCCCGCCGCGCTCTCTGGCCCCTCCCGCGCAGTCGGCAACCTCAGCCTCGCTGGCTACTATCTATCTAGCCTCTTCTCCCGCTAATTCGTCTTCCCGACGCCCAGCCGGCCCGGCCTAAGCGCGAAATGCTGTTTTGCTGCAAGTTGCAGCTCCTTAAGCCACTTCCACTGAAGCCACTCCAATGGTCAAAAAACTAGTTTATAGAAACATGCACCGATAGGGACGAGGTTGAACAAACAGGACATACTGTATTGGAACGTAATGCAACCGCCAGAATGTCAGTTATGGGTATTGGCCTGGAGGGATGCTATACTTCAAAAAAAAGCAACACATTAATTTTGATGATACCTAAGTTTGCATAAACTCCCATATGTGTATGTTTGTAGAAAGAGGCTGGTTAACACCAAATTGCAAAGTTACCTGAGGGGGGGGTGGATCTAGGGGAGAATTACTTTATGCAAGCGTTTTAGTATTACTGGTTTGAGCTAAATTACCTTTACACCTAAAAAAAATCTAGTCGGAAATATTTGTATCACAATATAATGTTTCAGTGTTCCCACAACATTCCCAGTGTTTTTCGAGGTCAACATCAGAGTTCTTACTGTGGTGGATAGTGATGGGTTGATGGGTTTCCTGGGCCAGTTAATCTATGCCAAACCCTAGTCAGTGCATTCACCAGGAACGGCAGGAGGGAATGAGCAGGGCAGAAACCCAGGGGGTGAGTAGAGCCTGCACTCGAAGCTCCTCCTTTCTGGAGTGGGTGTCAGAGCACAGGCCTTTCCTTTGCGTCCTGCTGGTTTCACCACAAATGAACAAACAGCCGTGAAGCCTCCTTCAAAGCGTGTGGCGTTGTATTTAAGAACCATTCTCTTTCCAAGAAGATTCAGTGTCCGTGTCACGTCTGCTCAAAGAAAGGGCTCTGTGATCCACGTGGACAAAGAAGGCAGCCAACACCTCCGTCCCGGGCACTTCTAGTGTAAGGGCACCTTCATCAGTGCAATCATAGTCCTGGAGTGAGCAGAATGGAATGGTCGGCTGGACCTCAGCTTCAGGGTCAGGTCATTCCACAAGCTCAGCAGCCCCTCTCCCTTATATTCACCTACTCAACAAGCAGTGCAAACACTCTTGGTCAGTTTACTACCTACTGTCTCCAAGACCTCAAGCCAGTCCTGTAGCCTCGGAGCCTCTCGTTTGTAACATGTGGATGGTGGTGATACCTGCCCCACAAGGTTGTCAGAACTACCTTAAATGAGAAAATATATAACACTTTGCACAGTGCTTGGAACACAATGGGTAAGCAATGAGGGTTCTAAAAGTCTTATTAAACGACTACTTAAAAATAACAAAACCCCAATGACTAAGCTTGTGGAGAAGACAGAGAGAAATCATGGGATTTCTCCATTAGCAGCTCCGACAGTGATATTTCCCATTTTCAATCCAAGCAGCCGCTTTGGAGAGGAGGCATCGCTGTCCTCCCGCTGGTCTCTTCCTGCTCCAGGTGCTCAGTCCCTTCACTTCAAGGCCTTGGTGCAGAAGCAAGCGGAGAACTAAATTATACCAGGTCAACATAAAATTTATTAATTCAAGAATGTATAAGTGAAATTATTTCCAAAGAATTCTCATACCCACTTAGTGAATATTAAGCAACCTAATTGTTAACCTTCATGTTAGATAAAATCTTAATGAAAAATTCAGGTTTTAATATAAATACTAAAACAGGAAGATGTTGCTCAGTGCCCGTGAGCTTGTGGAATAGAGAAATCTCTTTACTGCCATGCATTTTAGAAGCCTGCAGCTTGACTAAAGTCATTTATTTTGACTTCTACATAGTTGTTGACAGTTGAGGCAAATTATACTAGAGAACTCAAGAACACCAACTAACCTCCTTATGACTAAAGGTGAACAAAATTAAACTCAGTTTAAATACAATTTGAAAATATCCTCCTCTCATCCCTACCACAGTCTTTGCCAGTGAATCTGAAGCTACAATGCATCAGTTATTAGAATCAATTATCTTTTAGATGTTCAGACTGAAAAATAACCTTACTGTGTAATACATTCAAATTCCAGTGAAGGAGCTAATGGAAGGCTATCGATCTTACCTGCCTTCCATCTTATCTTTTTGTCCCTTATTAAATTTCCTTTAAAAATGAGGGGAGGGTGTTCAAAATTCTGGCAATTACTCACTTCTAAGATTTTTTTTTAACTTTGATCTAGGGTATTTAAACACCACCACCACCTCCTGTCAGAGCAGCGTGAACTCTGTGACGGGCGTCAGCCTCTCTCGTGGTTCCCTTCTCCAGCAGCAGAGACCCAAGAGCAGGGTTCCAGACAGGAGAGGCTGTCTGTTCCTCGCCACGCCCCACACTCACAGCCACCTCGGGGGCTATGCTCTCACACTTACAAGGGACCTGGGCTTGACTGGGGCTTAACTTCTAGAAATACATGCAAGAGCAAGGCACCTGGTAAACAGCTCTTTGAAACTCTCGCCTTTGGTTCAAACTGGAGATAGAGGGTAACTTCAGGAAAATGTGTATGGTTCAAAATATTTAGTGCCAGAAAGTCGTACTTCGTTTTTTAACTCTGCAGCCTGAAAGCTTAGATGATCAATTGGAATGAGACTTGGAAAAGGTACAAAGGAGAAAAATAGCTGGGAAGTCTGTCCTGGTCCACCCAGTGCCACCAAAATGTGACACTTCTTATCTGTCCAGCAGAGCAGGGTCAGAGTAGGAAACAAGCTGTACTTTGACTTTATAGTTCTTCTCTGCATTTCTAGCATTACGTTTCACTAAAGTTCTTAGTAAACTAGAGTTTACAGTAGAGTGAACATAAAGGAGGACACAAACCAAATTCACACTTAAATTAAATAGCATGATTTAATTTAGTTGCTGCTTAATCCTGAATCCCCTTAAGTTAAAAAAAAAAAGTTACAATTAACTATTAACGTTAATGACTTTAAACCTTCCAGAAAGCATGAATCCAAAAGGAAATATCCAACAGGTGATATGAACCAGATATTTTATGGCCTTTCCTGTTTCGGTCTCAAACATTCTAAACATCAATGGAAAAAAAATTCTCTAGAGTTTCTCAGTTTTATTCTTCTAGAGTATATTTTCTGGCCTGTTACTGAGTATGGTCCTCTAACAGGTACACAATTAACTCATAGGTAGACAACACAATGGCAGTGTTTGGTATCTGCCGGATGAGCTGAGCAAAGAGTCCTCTATAAAAGGCAAGGTAACCTTCTTCTCGGAAGACCAGCCGAGCGGTCTGGACAAAGGACTTGTACTTGGTGCCCTCCTCCCGGAGCCGCGTCCTTATGACTTCTGCAGAGAGAAACACACACTTAATGCTAGAAATCAACGGTATTACAAGGTAATAAGAGGAGAGAATTCAAAGCACATAACTTTATAATCGTCAATGTACAACTCTGGCTCTTTGCCAGAGTATCTCTGCTCTCAGCTGTATTTGGACAGGACAATCACATAGATGTAATGAAAAGTTAAGATTTTTTTTTTTGGTGAGGAAGATTGGCTCTGAACTAACATCTGTTGCCAATCTTCCTCTTTTTTTGCTTGAAGAAGATAGTTGCTGAGCTAACATCTCTGCCAATCTTCCTCTATTTCATATGTGGGACGCCACCACAGCACAACTTGATGAATGGTGTGCAGGTCAATGCTCAGGATCCAAAACCGCAAACCCCAGGCCCCTGAACTGGAGTGTGCAAACTTAACCACTACACCACCCGACTGGCCCCAAAAGTTAAGATTTTTTAAAGAACTTTTTCTAACTCTGGGAAATGGTCATTTAGGGACATTTAGATATACCTACAAGAGTACAAAATAATTTTGAGGGATTAAAAAAAGCTCAGTCTGAATGGGACTTAATTTTAAGATAGTTTATGGTTTTCTATTACCAATTAAACAAACACTACGTCACTGAAGGTGTAATTTGTATTAAGTATGGTAATACTTCAACGAGACATTCTTTTCATTTATTTCCCAACTTTCTCTCCCTACTAGACTCCGTCTCCACTCTGTCCAGCTTAAAGCTGCCTCCTCCTTTTCCAGACCTTCGCCCACCTGGCCCTCCTTCACCCAAGCATCCACGGCGCAACCCTTGTCACCACCTGTCAAGCAGACCTCAAGCTTCTGTCTCCCGACATGGGAGCGTCCCGACCTCTTCTCCATGAGCCCCATGGTGTCCCTTAGTGCCCCAGAACATGGTGGGACTCAATTACCTGTTACTGAGTTGAGCACGTGCATTTGTCACAGCTGACAGTGCAGTAGGCTTTTGAAAACAAAACCTATTTTTCATGGCACAATAAACTGAGCTATGTTTTTTAAGTAGGTCAATAGGACATTAGGTCTATGATTCCTTAAAAAATCATCTTACCCAAAGTAGCCTTACTCAGTACTCCATTCAAAATGGAAGCTGGGAGATTTTGTTTGTAAAGTTTGGCTCCCACATCATTCTTTTAAATCAAGGAATTTTAAATAAAATCCGGATTGCCGGCTTCTTTGAAAACATGCGAAGTTCCGTAACACAGGGCCCACATCTGCACATCACGTTCTGGCCACGACCAGCTGCAGGCGAGCGGAGAGGACTTCCTAGCACTCCTATAACCTACGCGCAGGGCAGCTGGTCTCACTCGTGAGCAGTCACCTGTGACCTGCAGGTATGTGCACTTCTGTGTGTGCTACAGAGGCCCAGACACTGAGAAACGACACAAACCCGACAGCTGTTTTACCGCTCTGAAAGAGAGAGAAAGCATACCGTGTGGATAAGCAATGCAGGAGGCACATCCCTTAGAAATAGCAGCAGCTGCCATAAGTCCAAAAAAATTTGTGGAATTTTTCTCAGTCCCACTTGTAGAAGAGGCTAATGGAGCTTCTTTCAGATACTTCTTTAAACTTTCATAAATAGCAAAACAGATGATAGTTTCTGAAATTCCAGCATAGGAGGCAGTCAACCCCCTGTAGAAGCCGCGGATGCCTTCCGTCTGGTAAACATAGCGAGCGCACTGGAGTGTGTTCATCTGCTTGGAGCCTCGCACCCTGTGTAAAGGAGACCAAAGACAGGAGTTACAACGCACGCCGATGAGCCTGGCCGGGGTTCCAAGTCACAGAACGAACACTGGACCTAAAGAGACATCACACAGCAGGGCAGCGTGTCCTCCCTGTTGTGCGAGGCTGAGTCTCTTAGCTGGGACACCTCAGAGGCCCATAGCCCATGTGCATCTGTACCAAGATCCATAAAAACACGTTCACAGCCTCTGACCTAATTTTGGAAAGGGTCATATGGAGGAAGATGTTCATCACGGAGGAAAACATAACTGCAATATAATCAAAACAAACATCTAAAAACAGGAACAGATAAGTAAACTATGGTACATATACTAGGTTAAAACAGTTGTGAAGGCAGTAAGATACGGAGAACGGCTTAAGCGGAAAGCAGGGCAAAATCATGTCAAGTATAACTACAATTACAGTACGAATATGCTTTAAGAAAATACTCCAAGAAAATTCACCAGCATTCTGACGGGGCGGTGAGCAGAGGAGTGCTCTTTCTTATTACTCTAGTCTCCAGACGGTGTGTTTTGATTCTATTTTTTCTAAATTTCTACATTTCTAAACACTAAATAGACTACAATAACCAATAAAAGACCTCAGGCCTGGAGGCTCCTACCCCATGACGGGAAGTTTCCATAACCGCCTGGATACAAATGGGACCTGAGAGTGTTTACGCTGGTGGCATGGCAGAGACCCCTCCTGGGGGCTGAAGGCCAGCACACCCTCCTGCTCCGGTCAGTCTCAACAGGTCTCTTCGAGGCCCTTCTCTGCTCCCTAGCTGGAGAGACCTTTCTAATGCAAATCCAACCGTGTCTCCTTCCTGCTTAAAATCCTCTAATGCAGGGTGTCTCAACCTTGGAACTACTGACATTTTGGGCCAGATAATTCTCTGTTGTGACATGCGTCCTATGCATTGTAGGATGTTTAGCAGCGCCCTCAGCCTTTCCTAGCAGATGCCAATAGCAGCCCATTTAAGTTGTGACAGCTAAAAATGTCTCCAGACACGGCCAAATGTCCCCTGGGGGGCAAAGTGTCCCCCAGCCCCACCCTGAAAAACAGCTCTAATGACTCTCTACTGCTCTCAAAATACAGCCCAAGTTCAAACTCCAAATTCCTTCCCAGGGCTTTTAAGGATGTGGCCCCCACACGTTTCTGCAGCCCTATCTTTCTGTAATTCCCTCCTTCTCTAGTATGTATCCATGCAGCCCACTCTGATCATACCTCACTTCCTTCAGTTCCCCAGAACCCAGGATGCTTTCTTGCCTCCAGATTTTCTGCACGCACAGCTCTCTGCCTGAAGCACCTTCACTGATGCCCCACCTGGCTATTCCTCGGATGGTGGGGTGGGCATCACTGCTTATCTCTGCCTGTCCTGCCTACACTGCACTAGGAACCCTCCGGGTCCAGCAGGCCCCTTATCCCACCAGACTATAATTGTCTTTCTTTTCTCTGAAGCTGTGAGCTTCCGGAAGGCAGGGCCTATGTCTTACTCCCTGTTTCCCCAGTGCCTAGTGCACAGGAAGCATGAAATAAATACTTCTTGTTGAGGGACATGTTAACAGAGCCCGCCCAAACAAAATGTCCTCCACAGGGGTCATTAGGCAGATTTAAAAGAATGCACGCAGGGGCGCTCAGCCGACTCGTGCACGTATCCTCCGCTCCAGAGAAGTGCTATCAGGACACCGCGTGCACAGCTGGAACGGGGAGTGATTACAAAGGGTTCCAGGAGAGGATGCTGGTCAGAAGCCTGAAGGACAAGTATGTGTTCTTGAAGGAGAAGGGGAAGAGGGATTCCTTGTGAGGGATGGCATACTCAGAGAGAGGGGAGCATGAGAGCATGTGGCATTTTTAGAAAATTGCAAAGGACCTTGAATGTTAAGCCAAAGTGTTAGGATTTGACCCTGAGAACCACCAAGATTCATTGAAGGATTCTGAGCAAGGGATCTGTTCAAAATGATTAGACCTGATTTTTTTTAGAAGGTTCTTTCAGGCAGACTGGACTAGGGGGAATATGGAATCAAAGATCAATTCAGAGGCTACTGATCATTCGAGAGAAAAACCAACTAACGCAGACTCCCACCTACACTTCCAGCCGGAGTTCTTGCTTGCTCTCCTCCTTTCTTTATGGGACTAGCTGGAAGTTTCCAGTGCGCCCTCCCCCCATTTCTAGGCAACACAGTTTCACAAGGGTTATCTTAGATAAAATCCTACCACAGAATCATTTACCATCATCATTTCTTTGAAATCACTGTAGTTACTGGGCTGCTTGATCTCGTTAACATATTAAAAAAAGTATATGGATATATTGGGCAATTTTTTAAAACATTGATGGGGCCAGCCCAGTGGCGCAGCGGTTAAGTTTGCACGTTCCGCTTCAGCAGCCCAGGGTTCGCCAGTTCGGATCCCGCATGCGGACATGGCACTGCTTGGCAAGTCATACTGTAGCAGGCATCCCACAAATAAAGTAGAGGAAGATGGGCACGGATGTTAGCTCAGGGCCAGTCTTCCTCAGCAAAAAGAGGAGGATTGGCAGCAGTTAGCTCAGGGCTAATCTTCCTCAAAAAAAAAAAAATTGATAACTATATTTCAATAATTGGTTTCCACTGCTTTTAAAAACATTATTCTAAAAAGTGCCTGCAGGCTTCCCCAAGCTGCCAAAGGAATCCGCAGCATAAAAGATGTTAAGCTGCCCTGGCTAGAGTTTCAGGGCAGAAATCTAGTATATTTGAGGGCCTTGGAGATTAAAATCACTCTTCTGAGGCCTGAAGGCATTTGCTGTTCTGCCCTTACTGGCATCTTCCCCCTTGAAAGAGAGGTCATCTGGAGGAAAGCCCAAAGCACTCCAACTTGGGGTGGGGTCTGCCAAGAGCAGAGACCCACCGACTATCTGAGAGGAAGTCAGGACTGCTGAGCAGATTTTTGACCTCCCCTTATGTTATTTATTTTGGTCCTTGTCTCCCCACAATGCTTGGCAGCACAAATCTCAAAACAAAAGGAATTTCTACATGTGCCTGTATTCAGAAAAAATAGGGGCAGGGATGGCTAAGGACGCTGCACACCTCACTCCACACCTGGAACTGGGGGAAGAAAAAATCCCCAAGAATTCTTCTATTAAGGAAGGAACAATTAATAACTTACTTCCGTTCTAGCTGCATCCGGGTTTTCACCATCCATATAGGATTCATTAAGGAATTTGTGACAAAAGCTGGGAAAAAAAGCACAGAAAATATCATCACTGAACACAGTCAATGCTTGTTAAAGCTGCCTATTTCATATGATAAACTCTGAAATGAGAATTTCAATGCCTTAATAGTGAAAATGGACAGTAGGGAGCAGTTACGTTTCTGTACTGCAGGTGGCCACTATGGTCCCCTAAATGTAACATCTGTTGGTATGCTGGACCTAAAAACAAACAAACAAACAAAACTCTTCCCACTGGGTTTTTTTTCTGCTACCTTGCTAGCGTTCAGCCTATTGGGAACATTTTACTAACCCTTGTTTTATTTCCATTGCTTAGATCAGTACTGTCCAGTATAAATATACATCACGAAAGGTCATGAATGAGACTGACCATGGCTAGTGGTGGTTGTACAGTGCATGCCTAGATCTCTGGAGTCTTGCAACTATCTTTTGCCTGGTTAATCCTTCTTAAATTTTTTTTTTTTTGAGGAAGATTAGCCCTGAGCTAACTACTGCCAATCCTCCTCTTTTTGCTGAGGAAGACTGGCCCTGAGCTAACATCCATGCCCATTTTCCTCTACTTTATACGTGAGATGCCTGCCACAGCACAGCTTGCCAAGGGGTGTCATGTCCGCACCTGGGATTTGAATCGGCGAACCCGGGGCTGCCCCTTGAAATTTCTTTTTTAAAAGGGCTATCTTGAAGATTATGACTCAAACTTTGGAGGAATTAAGGTGACTGGAAGGAATCACAACATGGGAAATTATTTAAATAAAAATTTATGGACTTAAAAAAAAATCCCAATTTTCTAGAGCCCTGTCTAATCTTTCCAGCCTCTAGGTGGTGCTGTTGGCATTTCTGTTCATGTGATTCAAATCATTATAGTAAATATGAAACTATCCTAAAACTCAATTTATGAGCTTCAGGGCCAGAAATAATTTGTTTTAAAAAGTTGCTTATTTAATCCAAAAGGTTACTTTATTTTTATTTATTTATTTTTTAGGAAGATCAGCCCTGAGCTAACATCTGCTGCCAATCCTCCTCTTTTTGCTGAGGAAGACTGGCCCTGAGCCAACATCTGTGCCCATCTTCCTCCACTTTATATGTGGGATGCTTACCACAGCATGGCTTTTGCCAAGCGGTGCCATGTCTGTACCCGGGATCTGAACAGGCGACCCGCAAGCCACCAAAGCGGAACGTGTGCACTTAAGCACTGAGCCACCAGGCCGGCCCCAAAAGGTTACTTTATATCTAACTTAAAATAGAAGGAACCAAATCTCCATTTACCTGAAGCCAAACTCACACTGCATTTTAATACCTGACTAATCATTTCAGAAAAGTGGAGTTTTAAGACTAATCTGCTTACAGAAACATTTTGTTAGTAACTCTTCCCCATGTTAATACTACGTATCGTTTCAGACCAAGCAAAAAAGTAGCATCGTGGTACTGGCCTGACACAAGGAGTCCTCTGGAACACCTCCTCCCCTCCACAGTTCTAAGCAGATTAATTAGCAACCAGGAACCTAGAGAGCGGTTTAAACACCTCCCCCTCCAGGTCCAATTTATTTCCCGAGGGTTCTTCTAAGTTAATTTTGCAGAAGTTATAAAACTGACGAGCAGCTCTTGGTCTGGCTCGCTCACTACTGGTCCAGCGAGTGAAGACAGACCGGTTCCCACACTCCACATTTCCTCCTCAGAGCTCTGTAGTCAGTAGAAGCGCCTTTCTTGTGTGAAGCCGCTTTGCTTAACATTACTTTCTATTTGGGGTCCAGAAATTATTAGCTATCGCTATTCAGATGGGCTACTCGTACTTTTACTTGGAGTAACACAGGCAGACAAAACTGGTGCCTACACCTTACAGGCTGGCAAAAGTTGGAAATTTTCCATCAAATGCCAATTTACATTCTCTAAAATACCTTTCTCTTTGAACAGACATCAAACAGTATCTACAAAGACACCGTCTTCTCTCAGCAATCTGCAAGTCCATGTTTTGTGCCACACATTTCCTGGGGAAAAAATCCTGTCATGAATTTTCTAAGTAAGTGGAAAGACTCCCTCGAAAGAGAATAGAATTATCTAATGTGTCACTGGGCCCACTAAAAGAACTGCACTCTGAGTCCTGAGCCCTCATCACAGAATCCAGTCGTGAAGGAGAGAAGTACCAACTGTACACATGGTATGCGGGACATCGTTGGGAGTCACGAAAAAGGCAGCTTGAATTTTAGAAAATAATGAAATAGACAGACATAAAAACATTAATATTCCTTTAAAAGAAATATAACACTAACCAGTAGCACGCATGAGAACATGTAAATTTTGAGGGAGAATAAAAAGCTTTAGTGGTTGAAGAAAACGGAACCAAGTTACAAACTGCTCTCAAACACTCATATTTTCTCAGTTCTAAAATACAGCTTTAGAAAAACGACTGTAGATGCAAAAGGAGCAGAGGGCTAATTTCTGATTCCTGGAAGAAGCTGTTGGGCACAACACATGCTTTAGGAGAGTGAGAAACTTCTCTCCATCACTGGGGAACATACCTGCAGAGCCAGCTGAGAAGATGTGCACAACATTGCTGTTCGGCACAAAAATGCCATTGAACTGCTCTTTGGCTTTGGAGTAACACGCGAAGTACACGGCCCTGTTAGAACCAAGAGAGAACGCTATGAAGACATCGATATGGAGCTATGTGATAGGTATGTCCCTCTGCAACCTCTGGAAAATTTAGGAAAATATGGGAAAGAAGCTAACATATAACCAAAAGCTTGACCTTATCCGTGCTAAAACCAAAACCTGCTGCAGGCACCTTCAGGAACTTCCTGCCTGTCCTTCCAGAAAGTATTCAGTGATGACGGAAATGTCCAAAATAATTAAGGAAAATGAGATTTTGGTAATATACACACGAAGTCCATTTATGTTCTTCATTTTGCAATCCCTGAAGCACCAACTTTAAAAATCTGTACTGTTTCTAAAATACAGCACACTTGTCCTGCCTTACACCAAAATGAGTATGTCAAATATAATTTGAGCTTTATTTTGATGACTCAGGATCACACAGAAGCAATCATCATACATGTTCTCATAAAGCGCTCCCTCCGCCCTCCTCCCCAAAAGTGACCCCTGTTGGTGGCGTCTGGCCTCTCCATGGCTCTCTGGTCTGGTCTTCTCTGTCTCCGCCTGCTTTTCCCCTTCTGTCTTCTCTGTTGGGGCTGGGGAGCAAGGGCTGGTTGGGATTTCCCCTGCTCCTTCATCAGCAATGCCAGGGAAAGTGCTTCTTTTTTTCCGGCTGGCCAGTGGATCAACCATAGAATATATTTTTCAACTTGGGATCCTGACTACTTATCATTATTGTGTTGCGAAACAGTCTTCCGTTTTTTCTAGGTCCCAAGGGTTCTAAATGGGTGTGGTAGCCAGGAATCTATATCCTAATTTTTGTTACAAGACTTAATTCTCTTTAAAGCCTATTTGAATATTTAGAGCTACATTGTCCCAACACAATAGCCACTGACGGCATGGAGCTGCTTAAAAGTAAAGTTTAAAATTCAGTTCCTCGGTCTCACTAGCCATGTTTCAAGTACTTAATATTCACATGTAGCTAGTGCTCCTATACTGGAGATCATAGTTATAGAACATTTCCATCTCTGCAAAAGTCCTCTTGGACAGTGCTGATATAGCGGGTAGAGATGTGTGAACATAAAAGTGAACAGATGAGTATGTGTGTATAGCATCTCTGAAAAGTAGACTGCCTCCTAGGCGGGGAGCTGGGTGACTGGGGTAGGACATTTACATTACCCCATGTAATACTGGAACAGACTCTAAAGAGAATTAACCTTTATAACAAAAATGAGTATGTTGTTTCATACTATAAGATGAAGACTAAAAGCTTCTAGAATTCTTGCAGATCAGTGCTCCAAGTTGTACACCTGAGGATGTTGTGAAAATGTAGATTCTTATTAAACCCTTTGTTCCTTTAGAATTTTTAGTACGTGTGTATAACAAATTTTATCAAATCAGCACTACCCACAAACATGAGATACAGTTCAATTTTCTTAACTACTAGATATGTACAGTACCTTTGCCATCTATTAATCATGCATGCCCCATATAATCTCACAGACTAGTACTTTCTACTTTTTAAATAGATTATACACACCAACAGTTATCATTATTTCTGTATGTCGGATGTATTTAGGCAAATCCCACACAGAAAAAGAACCTGGCCATCACGAAGTATTGCCCTTCGGGAAGAAAGGACTCAGGATATTATATACCGTATGCAGTGTGCAGGCTGAAAGTTTAATGCTTACCTTGATGGCGCGACTCCAACCAAATTTGGACCCAAGCCTCTGAAAAGTGACTTTGGTCCCTCCTTCTCCAAGATCGACCTGAATAATAAGAAAAGATGTATCTTTAAAACCCCTAGACAATACTGCAAAATTATGAGACATCTGCCTTCACATGAGTTCCTCGAGTAAAGCACAGAATGTTTACAAGAGCTCAGACCCTATCTGATTATATGACAATACGGAATCAGAAGACTGAAGAATACTGCTTTCATTAATACGGTGAAACAGCACGCTTCAAAAGCCATCAGTCCGACACGTCTTCAAGGGGCCCTTTCCCTTGTTCAGGCAGGAGCGAGACGTTCAGGGTTTGTACCACCCATCGAAGTCCTAGTGAGAGAGGAGCAGCACCTGGCAGAGGGCCGGACACAGGGAACAACGTCCTCACTACAACAAGATTCACTGAAAAACGGGTGCAGAGATTCCTGGTGATCATATTTCCTTTGGATTTACTCCTTGTTCATAATAATCCTATCTTCTAGATCTTTACCTATTGCAGGACAGCCCTAAACAAAAATATAAGGAATAGAAAAACTTAATAATTTCCATGGGCTGGATGAATGTTAAGCCAAAGCCTAGTATCTCAAGTTTGAAGAGAATACTGTGCCTGCTTTTTCTTTTTTTTTAAAATTGTGGTAACATATAACAAATTTTTACCACTTAACCACTTTTAAGTGTACAATTCAGCGGCACTGAGTACGTTCACATTGTTGTGCAACCATCACCACCATCCATCTCCACTTTTTCATCTTCTCAAACTGAAATTTCATACACTTTAAACACTAACTTCCCATTCCCTCCTCCTCCCAGCCCTTGGCAACCACCAGTCTATTTTCTGACTATGAATTTGACTACTCTAGGGATCTCACATGAATGGCAGCATACAGCATCTGTCCTTTTGTGACTGGCTTATTTCACTTGGCATAGCGTCTTTGAGGTTCATCCATGTTGTGGCATGTGTCAGAATTTCCTTCTTTTCAAGGCTGAATACTCCTCCATTGTATGTATGCACCACATATTGTTTATCCATGTATCTGTCAATGGACACCTGGGTTGCTTCCACCTTTCAGCTACTGTGAATAACGGGGCTATGAACATGAGTGTTCAAATATCTGTTCAAGTCCCTAGTTTAAATGCTTCTGAGTATATGCCCAGAAGTGGCATTGCTGGATCGTATGGTAATTGTATGTTTAATTTTTTGAGAATTCGCCATACTATCTACCACAGCAGCTGCACCATTTTACATTCCTACCTGCAACACACAAAGGTTCCAATTTTTCCACACCCTTGCCAATGTGGTTTAAAAAAAAACACAAGTTAAATATGTTTTCTGATTAAAAGTGACTAAGAAAATCCTAAAAAGACTGTACAGAACATTCTTTAGGGGCATTTTAGTCTTTTTTTTGTTTTTAAAGATTGGCACCTGAGCTAACAACTGTTGCCAATCTTTTTTTTTTTCTTCTTCCCCTGCTTTTTTCTCCCCAAATCCCCCCAGTACATAATTGTATATTTTAGTTGTGGGTCCTTCTAGTTGTGGTATGTGGGATGCCACCTCAACATGGCCTGATGAGCGGTGCCATGTCCGCCCCCAGGATCCGAACCCTGGGCTGCCAAAGCAGAGCGTGCGAACTTAGCCACCTAGCCACGGGGCCAGCCCCTAGAGGCATTTTATTCTTTTCAATGGCTCAATTTTCATGGTATCCATTTACATTGTTAAATTATAGTCCTCTAATTTAATCTCCTTTTCTTACTGAGGATTTTTCTTTACTTAGCAATTAGTACCTCCAATTTGACAGCATTCTAAGTTGATCTGGCTCACAAATAATCATACCATTGTCAAAAGAATTTAATGTTTTACCTTCATTATGACATTGAAGATAAAGATATCTTTCATTTTATGCAAAAGCTATTCCTATAAAGCTAATAATAAAGTCAATCCTGCCAAATCTCTTTCTACCAACTTCCATTTTTCCCGAAGAGAAAAAGCTCCCCAAACCAAGCTGAAATTTTTGGTGCAAAACAAGTTAAGCTGACGTTTTGGTCCTTGGTGTGCTGGCTAACGTTAAAGTTTTACCCACTCGTGCTTTTCTTCCCTGCTCTTCCCTTCTTCAGATCAGTGTGACTTTTCATGGTCTAAATTCCCTCAATGTACAAACTACATAAAATTTTGAATCTTAGCTTCTCTTCTCCAAATTTTGGGATGTTTATAAATATTTCAATTGCTTGAAAATAAAGAATACTTATACCTTTAGGAGCTTTCCTAAAAAGCAGTAGGCTAACAATTACACAAGAAATAAAAAGTATCTAGATTGGAAAAGAAAAAGTAAAACTATCTTTATTCACAGAGAACTTGATGTTGTACTAAGATAAATACTAAGAAATCCACTAAAAAGTTACTATAACTGGAAAATGAGTTCAGCAAGGTTGCAGGATACAAGTTCAATACAGAAAAATCACCTATATTTCTACACAGTAGCAATGAAGAATCTGAAAATGGAAATAAAAATCAATTGCTTTTTATTTTTACAACAGCATAAAAAGAATAAAATACCCATAGAGACGTTAAGTAGATCAGGGGTTGGGGGAGGGAGAGATGGGGAATGACACATTTCTTTTTGGTGTGATGAAAATGTTCTAGAATTACATAGTGGTGATGGTCACATAACTGTGAATATACTGAAAACCATTAAACTGTATACTTTAAAAGGATGAATGTTATGGTATGTGACTAATATCTCAATAAAGCTATTATTTAAAAAGGTAGTAGGGATTGGCCTGGTGGCGTGGCAGCTAAGTTGGCATGCTCTGCTTTGGCAGCCCAGGGTTTGCAGGTTCAGATCCCAGGCGTGGACCTATACACCGTTCATCAAGTATGCTGTGGCGGCAACCCACAAACAAAATAGAGGAAAATTGGCACAGACGTTAACTCAGAGCCAATCTTCCTCACCAAAAAAAGAAAGAAAGAAAGGTAGTAAACTAAACCTCAGTTCTATTTATATAATTAAATTACTTCAATATATTAGGGAGACAATAGTCTTATTTTCTAATCATAAAATCTTTTCTTACTGGCAGATTTAAATCCAGGCCCTTTTAGGTGATTCCAAGACACACTCTTGTTGGCGTGGCCCACATGAAACCCTCTGGCCACCCCTCAGTGTCACATGAAGGTACTCTGTTCGCCACACTAGATAACTAGGGAGCACTCACTACGAGTACAGTGTAACTTCTTTTCTTCTCTTTTCATGGCATCTGGGGAAGGTCAAAGCAATGTATTTAAAATAAGACCTAGCCATACAGGAGTATTATTCAGAAATAAAAAGGAAGGAAGTACTGGTACACACTACAACAAGGATGAACCTTTAAGAAACATTAGATTAAATGAAAAAAGCCAGACACAAGAGGCCATATGTTGCATGACTTCGTTTATGTGAAAAGTCCAGAGGAGACAAATCTGTATTGACAGAAAGTAGATTCCTGGCGGGCTGCCTAGGGCTGGAGGGTGGAGGACGGGGAACGACTGTGAGCGGGGAAGGGGTTTCCCTTGGTGGGGATGAAAATGTTCTAAAATCACACTGTAGTGATGCTTGTACAAAACTCTGTGAACACACTACAAACAGTTAACTGTATAGTATGCGAATTACATCTTAATAAATCTGTTAAAAAAAACCCGGCAAGGAGGGAAAAAAACGCTCACTGAGAAAGCTCTCAGGAGCAGAAGAGCTACTGGCAGGAACAGAGCTGAAGACAAAATTTAGTTCTTGTGCCACAGCAATCACAACAGACAACTGATGAAACTAGAATATGGACTGTAGATAGGTAAAAAGTAGTATTTCAATGTTAAATTCCTTGAACTTGAAAACTGTACTGTGGTTTTAAAGGAATACACTTGCTCTTAGGAAATAAATGCTGAAGAATTAAGGGTAAAGGGGCATAATACCTGTAACTTATTTTCAAATGGTTCAGAAAAAATATGTATATAGAGCAAAAATTAAAAAGCAAATGTGGCAAAATGTTAAAAATTGGTGATGAAGTAGAGAGTATAAGCAAATTATTTGTACACTCCTGTAACTTTTCTGTAAGTTTGAAATTATTTTAAAATAAAAAGTTCTTAAAGCTATAAGCCACAGGTTATAAAAATATTGAATTCATGATGACAGCTCCCCCGAAAGTCATGGAAACAGGGGTTGGGTGAAGACATTCTTGGAGGTCAGCCTGGTGGTGCAGCGGTTAAGTGCGCACGTTCTGCTTTGGTGTCCCAGGGTTCGCCAGTTTGGATCCCGGGTGCGGACATGGCACCGCTTGGCAAGCCATGCTGTGGTAGGCGTCCCACACATAAAGTAGAGGAAGATGGGCATGGATGTTAGCTCAGGGCCAGTCTTAGCAAAAAGAGGAGGATTGGTGGCAGATGTTAGCTCAGGGCTAATCTTCCTCAAAATAAATAAATATTTCTTTCCTTTTTTTCAAAAGATTTTATTTTTCCTTTTTCTCCCCAAAGCCCCCTGGTACATAGTTGTGTATTTTTAGTTGTGGGTCCTTCTAGTTGTGCCGTGTGGGACGCCACCTCAGCATGGCTTGATGAGCGGTGCCATGTCTGCGTCCAGGATCCAAACCAGCAAAACCCTGGGCCGCCGTAGCGGAGTGCACGAACTTAACCACTCAGCCACAGGGCCGGCCCCTAAACATTTCTTAAAAAAAAACAGACATTCTTGGGTTTCCATAAACCTAACACTCCAAATGAAGATCATGGAGTTTCAGTGAATTTTCACATTGGCCAAAAACAAGCCATTTGGCCTTTAATAGAGGTATGAGAATTTAGTGTTTTCAACTCTAAGTACTTTCACTCTTTCTCAAAAAGGATTGTGCTTTTAAAAAGCCAAGCTCTCGGAACAAAACCTTCTCCTAAATATCACCTTGAAGTGACCTACACCTTACGATAAAGCATGTAAAAGATTTCCAAATGCTCAGTATATTCGTAGTTTTTATAAGTTTGGATTCTGTCTCTGGTCCCATTAATGTACACTGTGCAGCCACCCCAGGAATCA